ATTGGACCTATAATTCTTTTGACAATGACGAAATATGTGGCCACAATAGGGAAGAGAGATCTCTGGATATCTCTGGTACTGAACCGATGCCCGATCTTATGGTCGTTTGAGTGTTTTTAGCTCCGACACCACCTAGTTTCAGAGTTCTGGAAGGGGAATTATTTAGCTTTCGAAGATGATTCCGTGTGGTATTCGAATCACTTTAGTCTGGCTGGCCAGCGCAACTTTTCATATGGGTGGTTTTCGACAACTGATAATAATCTCCAGTATAAATCACAATGCTATTTTGCTTGCTTTCGTGAAACCTTTCATAGTACTAAGCAGACGGAATATTGGTGCGTGAATCTTTTTCAAGGTGGACGTTTACCTGAATTTTGGAAATTTGCGGAGTACGAGTTTCATTTCACACTGCTAGTGAAAACTAATGACTGATGTCTCGTCATGGTTCCGAAAATTACCAAACGCTTTTGTTAAGCCAGCTTGTAACTTTGAGGGACTTCCACACTTGATCACTCATTTATTTTGTCCTTGCAATTTCAGTGGAGAACTGAACATAGAAGTGAAGTGTCACACTGTCGAAAAAGAATAGGCTTCAGGTAAGAGACCTCATAACACCATACCAAATAATCAGGTCATTATCATGGGAGAGGTTGACTTAGATGAAGCCACCTGATTTGGTGGGCCAGACTAAAGAGTCTGCATGTAGAACAACCAGAGCTCAGGTTTGGAGGGACAGATGACTACCCATCAGTCGCATCGTCATTTTTAGTCAAAACCAGCTGGAAGCGAGCTTGAAGTCTTTCAGGCAGCCTAACTAACCAGTTTCCTAGATAGCCACGTTTTTCAGATGAATTTTTAAATGGGTGCTTCACAGAATATCACAGAATCCTGCTGGCCTGGAGCCTGAATCTGGATTAAAATTAAGCCATGGTTCCACGAGGCCACAATGACTAGATAGAGCAATTCATCCGGGATACTTGAAAAGGAAGTTCATTCGACCACGTTCCTGTCTACAGTCAGCTTTTGTTGCATTGTACATCAGCAGATAAGGCCTACAGATAAATTTTAACTTGGGACATTCTTCTTGAGGTCGGTCATCTGTAAGATTTTAGGGTAGGAAACTTTTTTCCTAACACTTCAGGTTTCCCTTCCATTATTTTTTGAATCGAACTTTTATTTATACATTATAATATTCCGATTTTGTTTTTGCTCGTAACCGTGGTGACTCTCTGTAATAGTACTTTTTCCTTCTCCTTAAAAAATCCCAAGTAAAAAGGCCATTGCTACTAGCCTCTACGCAAATAATATACGGGAGGTTTTCATATGGGCCTTTATCCGAGGGGCACAATTAACAGTGCCTGTTCGTGGATGACGCTGTTAGAGTGACAGATAGATCTAATAATTACCTTGATTTAGCAGCATCCGAAAACACCGAATGCAGTATGCCTCATCCCCTCGAAGGGAAAAGGGATAGCGAAGGTCGTCAGCTTAAGGGCAACGGACAATGTCAGAAACTGTCAATGTCCCGCTCCTACTACGCTGGACCTCAAGCTGTCCCTGGAAGAATTTCCGAAACAAATTGTAATAACTAACGCGAGAAACGAGAACACAGATTGGCGACTCGAGAATCCTTAATTCTTACGCCAATATGTAACCAACAATAAGGTTATTACACACAAGGTCTAAGAATAAATGTTATAACAATAAATCACGATAATACTTCTGACAGTTTTCTGTCTTCCCATGAACAGCGACCGATGAGACGATGACTGGTGGATTGATGACTCCCGCGAAAAGATATGGAGGAGTTGGGTTTGAGCAAACAACCATGAATTGATCACTCAATCTTCAACTACATTGACATATAGAAATGTAACAAATTAGAGTGACACATCTGTTGTACATAAAGCAGGTGATATGAATTTATAAGCTGAAAACTAGAATGTAAAGGACAAGTTATTAATTTCATTGCTGTGTAACAAACTAGACTCATGGACACAAGATTGTGCCTTATGCCAGATGATTTCGACGACCCAGCAGGTGACTTAAAACGTAATGCAAAGATACTTCTAGACAGTTCCATCTACTATGAGCTGTTAAAATCCCACGTTTCACTGGCAGTAGTACAGAACGTGAAGATGTCAACGTGTTTTAATTCTCGGGTTTTTGTCTTTAGCCATAAGCCTGGCTTTGGATATTAGCTCCATGAAACATCTCCCACAGCTGGTGACAGGTGGTCACTCTCTGCCATCATTTAGGCTTACATATGTCACAATATCCTGAGCTAAAACCTCAGCTAATTCAAAAGTGCGACATGCTGATATGGACATTACTATTCTTGCACCCCCATCACAGGACTGAATTTGTAGGTCTAGAAGCTCATATGGAAGTAAGAACAAACCCAGTCTACCCAACTCTTCACCCAGTGGACCGTCCGAAAGGTCGAGAACAGTGCTCTCCATGGATAAACCTAGAAATCCGTGAACTGCTTGGACGTAAACACAAGTGCTGCAATGTATTTATCACGCTGTGACCATAATTTTGCAGGGTTTCCGAATATATCTAGGTGGAAAAGAATTGGCGCGGCTGGGGAACTTTCTTCGTACACTGAACCTCTGCAATAAGGCATCCAACGGACCAGTAAGCTTGATTACTGGGGGAGACATATTCGAAGATGGTCATGGAAAGCCTAAAGTAAAATCAGACCACCTCCATACAGTCTTTCTGCAGAAGTTGTCACTATCAGCTTCGATCGTGATAGGCACATATGGGAATGATTTCGATAAAACTGATCGAAAATCATATTCCAATCACCATGCAGACTAGACACAAGGAAATCAGCGGTGGTATTCACTCAAGGTACTGGCAGCTCATACAGCTTGTCTACTAACCACTACTTTCGGATTATCTGTGTAACATGGACTGCTACCACCCGTTTGGTGTTTAGATCACCTTGATCTGGCTAACAAGCACTACTGGTTGATATGAGCGGTATGCAACTACTCATCCTAATTAATCAGTGCCAAATAGTTTTATACAAATGTGGCTACATTCTTGACTGCCATTTACCTCTCTAAGTAGATCCCGTGTGATGACCTGAATAATTCCGGTTCCCAAAGGAAACCCACTTAACTGTGTACATTGCGAACCGCCAACTGGTTTGCAAATTATGAATTCGAATTACTTTATCCACGTACTGGAAGAATAATCAAGAAGACTATAATGACATCTTCTGGAAGCTATAGATCGTTATCCGGAATATAGCATGATCTTCGAGTCTGACAAACAATCTCACAGAGACGAAAGGCCCAGCCAAGCCCAGTGATAACAAGAGGCTCACCGATTAATTTCCGCAGATGTCAGCAAGCATCCAAAGAGATGACTCACACAAGACTGCTCAGGATATTGGAGAAATTGAACCAAACACGGCCTGCTCATCAGATGTAACAAGGAGTCAGAGTTAACCCAGTGCTCTCTTCAGGGACGACGACCGGTAGCGATGCAACATTTATATGTTTATATGAAAATATAAACTATTATTTATAAGTCAGTTTGAATGGCCCCTTTTATTCTGTATATCACTGAATCAGCTGCACTCAGAAAAGCCCTCTTGGTTCTCTACGCGGATGACCTAAAAATTTCGAAATGGCTTAAGGATAACAGCGGTATTCTTTCACTACAAACGGGTTTCAACAGTTTCCTATACTGATCCGGCGAATAGATGCTTACCATTAGCTTGTCGGAATGGGCAATCATGCACAAGTTCCAGACTACATGACTTGGGAGGAATATCATCCTGACCACTTCAGTCGCTCAGTGATTTGAGAGTCGTACAACTGAAGCTCACATCTCTTAACCTCTACAAGTAAACAGTGAAGCCTTTTCACCACCTGACACAAACTTCTGGTGAAGTCAAAACTAGAAAACAACATCCTGGCACACAAACATATCTTGAAGGGTACATATATATTGTAGAACGAGTTCGTAGGACGACTAGGCATATGATCCCTCGAATAAAGAAACCCATCACATGAGGAACAGACTGAACCCCCTACACTTACCACACCTCAGAAACAAGCATGAACCTTTTCATTTCAAACGGTCTGAAACTACTCAGAAGACATGTCAGGACAATACAGAAGCCAGAGCAGACCCATATCTCTATGAAACACTGTTGCCCACCAAGCCACTGCTTCTACGAACCAACTTTCAGAATCTGTAAATTCAATCAACCCTTTCAAGAGTGGATCAGGAAACAACAGATACTTATTAGATTGGGTTTTTCTGTTTTCTATCTCCTCCTCTCCATTCGTTTTCTTTTTCATAAGCATATAAACTGATGGCAACTTAAACCAAAAATTGGATTGTTTATATTTTGGACGCACTGATTTTATATTTTCTTTACTACTATCCAAATATTGGAGTGTTATTGTCATTACTTATAACCATTGTAATATCGGGTGGTTTGAAGGTGATGAAGTGGAATGACACCATTTTATACTGCTAATGTGGTTTTACTTTCTTTATCGAAACTAAATGGATGAGATTAATATTGGTTTGGAACTTTCTGTCCCCTCTAAGAAATATGAGCCTGAATTTGAAACCCGACGTGCTTAAATACATTCACTTGTGATATTGTTGGCGTGAAATCACATTCCTACTGAAAAGCATATCAATGGTAATGCTGCAAACATTCAACTTCAAAAATCGGGAGATAAAGTTAAAATTACTTCCGGAGGCTGCTAGGTGTGAATCGAAGTATCCTTAATGTTTCATATGAATTAAGCTTGCTGTCCTTTATTCCTGTTCGGTTTTTCATCGGCCCGTTTATCCAGTATTACGACTGGCACTTCACACGATAACTCAATTTCGAACAAGCGCTCATTATGAAGTATAACGCTAAGTGCGGGTATGTTAAATTGCTAGCATAAATGCAAGGAGAGTCAGTGGTATTCGTGTGAAATATGAGTGCGTAATTTGTGCCTCTCTTTTTCCATGGAATGTCTAACCACTCATCATCAAACGTTAATGACTTTAAATCACCTGAAGGTACAAGCCATTGTTTTTTCGAAGCATCGGTAACCCCTCATTCTGAAACACATAAGTCAGGAGCTTTCTGTGCATTTAACCGCCAAGTTCATAGTCTGCAAATACCTAAAGGCAATAGTTTTCACCTTAATTATGATTCGAAGAGCCCGCTTCATAGATGGGCTGCCAGCGATAGATTGCGTCTGATCCATTTCCTTCAGGAAATCCAGCTGGACAGAGCTTTGGATGTACTACCAGACAACTGTACATATGAGGATTTATTTAAGTGTCCACTAGAGGAGTTGCGTAATGTGCTCTCTGGCTGCCTTACCGAGTTGGAAGTCAACTCCCTCTACTCACATTTACATTCGTGTACCTCTATCGGCAAGCATGAAACGGAATCACGATCTCACCTTGAAGATCCTCATGTTAGAAGGGTGAGTATATTTTTTTCTGATGTATATTGGCCCAGTAATTAACGTCTTTATTCGCCAACTCGCTTAAAATTTGTTGGTCAGCTTTGATTTTTTTAAAATTCATGCAAGATCAGTGGTCTGATAGAAAGCTGCGTAATTATGCGTATAGCTTGCTGGAGCGTGATAGCGTGTACATAATCTACATATGGGACTGGATGATTATCGGGAACTAACATTTGGGAAGTGTTTATATGTCAAGCTTTTGGATGAAAATACAGTGGTTATTTAGTGAGGTGATGACGAAATGTATGTCAGTATTACAGCGAAACTCGGTGGAGAACTATATATCGTAACGTATTAGCTCGTAATCAGTAGTTGGAATTTAGTTCTTCATAAAACTGGTTAAGATATTGAGAAAAGTCTGATATACTTTGTTTTCTTTAGATTATACTAACTATGGAGGTTGTGATTGTGGCTTAAATACATCTGAACCGCTTTATTTGTTAGTAAGTGATGGCACCGAATGTTGTGAAATATATAATTTATTAGTGATATACAACTCAGAGGTCTAATGGTTGACCGACAATCAAGCAGAAATTTGCATGTAAATGCATCAGTTCAGATTACTACTTTTCCAAAAGCACAACTCAGAAGGCTGAATAGTACTCAAGAGATAGGAATAGATTCTCACTACATGTGTTTGAAAAGAAAAGGCTAAACGGTTTACGCACTGATTAATATGTTGAGCGCAATGTGTGAGGACCAAATTGAAATAGGTGAGATAATATTTCGAACCCAATGGATCATGAGGTTATCTTCCTTCAAGTTTGAATTATTAGTTTCGTAGTTTGTCTTAATAAAAGTTGGACTTTAGATTTTTCTACAACTATTGTTGCGTCAGTACATATGGTTCTTCAGTTTAACTACGTTAATGTTTGTTTTCGATTTTAATCTTTTATTATTCAAATCATATTTTGCGTACTGAAGTGTTCAGAAACTCGTCCTGTCCATCAGGAGCGACCAGGAAGTACATGTGGTCAACACCGTCCTCGTACATCACTGGGTTCACTCTCCTGTGCATCTGCAGAATCCTCTTCCATTTTCATAGGGGATAAACCGTTGGACAACACAAATTCAATAACCTCTGGCGAAAATGAATGCAACTGTGACTGCGACTTGTCAAAATCTGATCTAGTACAGCTCTCTACAAGTGTTAAACGAGCATCTTCGCTTGGTTCGGATAATGTATCACAAATCCTTCCGAATTATCGTCCGTCTTCATTATCCATTTCATCAGCTCTAACTGACAGCCACTCACTTTCTCTTCAGGAAGATGCCAACACGAATTCCATTACAGGCCCCGTACCATGTTTGGCTCAAGCCAACCTGTCGACCTCTGAAGTTTGGAAAAATTCACAGTCACCACGGAATATTTGTGATAGTCAAACTAAGCACTGTTCAATAACATGTCCTATATCATCAGCTTCCTGTAAAGCGCCAAAACAGCAAATAAATACGAATACTTATTCTGAAGCCTCGAGTGTATCTTACGCAATTCCCTCTTTTTATCGTCATGGCAGTAATGAACCGCAGTTGTCTCCGTATTTTTCAAGTCATTTATCTAATTATGAAAGTGAGTGCTAGGTTTCTGCCATTATTTATAAATGTGTTTAAATCCAGTTTTTATATGAAAACCATATCCATTCTAAGTGTTCGTTATTTAAGTATCCTAAGGCAAATTTATTTACAAATTCAAGGTTTACGTCGTTTAGATTGTAATTGCTTTCCTACTATCTGCTCTCGCTTATTTTGTCTAAACACCCATTTTTGACTTTGATTTGCTACTGTGGATTGTCAGACTAGAGGGTAGTATTACCCATACGACTCCTCAGATAATTCATCTATGATTACTGAATCACACTTATGCGTCTTTGCCACATAATCCAAGAATACTAATTGTTTAGGCGGAGACTACAACCTGATAGTTCTTCACTAGTATTGACGAAATATAACTTTTTAAACGTATTCTATGAGGGTTGCTTATAATTCGGATTCCAAATCAACACTTAGTGTGTTGATATTTTATTGATCGTGTAGATATTCATTTCACAATCCTCAAGGACATTCATGTCCTTCATAATCTATACCTGTTAGCATCCATTGTTTATTGGTTCTTGGGCTAGTTTCAAAATTGTAAAAATCTACGACAGCGGTAATTTGCCACCCACAAAAGAAAGTTACTTAACGTACTAACTCAGAAGTAAACTTGAAATCATACAGATTAGTATTATTCCTTATTTAAAGGACAAAATTAGTAGATTATAGACGCTAAGCGTTGGTGTCATTACTTTATATTGGTATGAGAAAGAGAAGAAAGGAAGAAATCGTAGCTTGTCCACCATTGAAGCCCCTAGGTCACATGACCTCTTAGGGCCATATCCATGGAGTCGGGATCCACCACCAAATGCTAATTCAAAATAATTATGCATCTTAGTACCACCGCAATGACTGTTTTTATATCCAGCTTTCTATAGTTAGCAAATAGCAGACGGTTTGGTAGTCGCTGGGATGACATTCGTAGTGAATATCCAAGCCAATTTAGCCAACGCTATCACTCAGACCATTTGAAGCTGTCTTCAAAATGTAATCGTTGGCGAAGTTTAAGGGAAATGGCAAGATTTGACAACCCTATGTGAACTCACTCCCGCTTGACAACTGTGATGATAGGTGATTGCGCATGGCTTTGAAAATGTTTATGTACTTCAGAGGCACACCTCTTTGTAACGGATATTTCCATAGTCATATCCAAGGAGTAGAAGGCAGTTGTATTGTGAAGAAATACAGACTGTTTATTTGCAATATGTGACGGTGTTCTAACAAATGACAGAGGGTGGACACATGATCGATGCACTCAAAACCTAAACAAAATCCAGCCTACCCTTTGAAAGTTAGATTTTCGGTATTATACAGAGCTTGCAGAACATGAAAACACTATGTGCAACTAGCAACCAAATAATAATTATGGCTTTCGTGGGCATTACGTTGGCTCTCCTTAAACATAGACATAATGATGATTTTTTTACGATTCTGGAGCATTCAGTTCCTCATACTTTCCTAAACAAATACAGTTAGTTTCTTGATGAGACAATTACTTTTTTCGTAAAAGGTCTTAGATGGGTATCTTGTGACACCAGAGTACTTAGCATCTCTTTCGGATGTCTGCCTGCGTTGGTTGACTGGTGTTAAATGACCACAAGTCACTGTGACCGAGAATATCAAGTACTGGCTCTGCCGACCAACAAAACTGCTTTTCAGACTGCTCTACACAATGTCCTGTGTTTCCTTTTAATCTTACCAGAGAAAAGTCTGGTTGATCTAGAAAGACGTTGACAAAATTTAGTATACCGAACTGAGTACGTTGAACTTTATCAGATATAAAATGATTCTACAACGCTAGTCAGCGATGAATCCTAGTTTAAGGACAGTTAGTAAGATAATTGACCACCTCACTTATTTTGGAAGTTGCATCAGCCCTAATGGACTGATTGCTGACGAAATCTGAGGATAGATACCAAAGGCTTGCTTGGTATGTGTCAACTGACTCCATCTTTGGTGTCTATGTGATATCCAATTATCAACCAAAGGATGTATTTACTATGCAGTGGTTCGCTCTATCCTTTATGTTTGTGAGATGTGGCTATTGTCAGCGGAAGACACGATGGATTTTAAATGAGCTGTTTTGTATAAATGATTTATTGTTTTTAATCATTTTTGATGACCAGTTATTTTTTCATTTATTAACAGGACATTCCATGTCCAGCACTCTCTTGCGAATAAAAGGTAGTTTCATTGGTCAATCTGCACCGAATTTATTGTATTATATGGTAAGTACAGTCTTGTTCATTTTTTGATTAATTGGCGGTATCCTACCCTTATCAAACTAGAAACAAGGTAGAGGAGGCATTTTAAAAACCACTTGTCATTGTTTTTTTCACTTAAGTCCATCAGTTTTTATTCTAAATTGTAATAAAAGGAATATCTCAGTGATCAAGATAGGTTCATGGAGTAGTAAAAAGTTATCACATTTTAATAAACTATCAGTTGTGAATATTGTTACTTTCGCACAGATATTCACTCTTAAAAGATTAATTCTGTTTCATCACCAAGTGTTATTTTACTTTTTTCTGAGAACTCATTTCCTTTAGCTGTTTAGTTGCATTTACATACAATTTTTCTACAACAGGGAATAGTAACAGAAAAGATTAATCGGCATATGCGTAGTTGCTAGTACCAATACATAAGAGGAGTTGAATAGAAGTGATGGAGTGACGTAATGACGTAAGTGATTTTATGGATGAGTTGTAGTCACGATAAACATAAGAACAGATAAAGTATGATGCTACTTAAGACTTGAAAAGAATCCTGTGTGGATAGGTCAAGAATATTATCCCGCATGCTTACAGGGGTGTAACAGAAGCTTCGTCAGGAGTGAAGTCATTAAACACTGAGACACTGATCACCATCTCAACGAATTCCCACCTCAGAATGACCTACAAAATGAAAAGCAACTCGCCACAGACAATACGCTTTCGCTTCCTTTGCATCACTAAAGTTTTAGCTACCCCGATACAGAAACCGGAACTCCGCATACAGAAGAGAATTTTTCAACCACTTCTACTATCACGATAATAACCAATTTCCTGACCGATAGCTGCTACCTTGACGTGGTGATCAGGCTTGCACATTACGGTGACCCAACAAGCTACACTGGCTGGAACCAACGTTCCTGCAGGTCCTACCATGCCAGAAAGGTTGTTAGGATAGCGATTAGACTAAAACTAGTTACCGGAATCGTGTAAGAATCTTTCCTACACTATGCTGGGGGTCTGAGGACGAAGTCGTACTGCTGGAGAACAGTGTAACAGCAGTGAGGTGTTTCCCTCAGATGACCAGCATGCCAACTATGCCGTCTCTCCACTCTGGAGATAGGGGGTTAGAAAAGGTCGACCCCAAATATTATACATCCCAACTTACTCTACGGTGGTCCGTAACCGGCGGTAACTTTACTAATACGGAACCAATCCTAGAAACCAGTTCATACAGACCGTGTGTGACCGGCCTCAAGCAATCGTCCCCTGGGCTCTGCGGTCACGCAACACTAACCCTCTTTCTGTTTTAGATACCTGAAGAATCAATCAACTTCCACGGTGTGGGCAGCCAGGAAGTAACAACCGCCCACACACTTTCAAAAGCACACGAAGCCTTCCTGAGAATCATTCTCCTTACTCACATCACCTTCCCCATCTTGCTTCCCTACTACAGTTAGTACTATTCTTCAGGTTAGTAAGGCATCTTCACTTCATTCTGTGACCACAAACAACGGTGAGACCCAGATAGCGTTTTAAAGCCACGTCCCCCACTTAATATAGTAGCGTTTAACGTCAGGACCCTCTGCCTAATCGGACAACAGGCATCACTAGGAAGAACTCTGACATCTCGAGCCATGGATATATGCTGTGTTTCGGAGACACACATACAAGACCCGAGTGTGGTCATTCACTTAACCTCACCCGGTCAACGAGGTGAATCTGCAAAATTCACTTTAAGAGTGTCAGGAGACCCCTCAGCTAGTTGGCGAGGACTCTCAGGTGTAGGGATAGCTTTGAGTGTTAGGGCGGAAAAATCCCTTCTTGACTGGATCCCAGTAGATAGTCGTATGTGTGCAGTCCGTCTGAACGGTTCCGATAGAAGAAAGAAGGACGGCGTTACCCGTCGTTGTCTTTTCGTAGTCTGCACTTACTCCCCAATAGACTGCAGTTCGGATGAACTAGAGGATGATTTCTATCTGAAACTGTCTAATTTTCTGCGAAACCTGGCGGCCTCCATCACCAAATCAACGTTGGACTCAGATAGACCACATAGCGATAGGGTATCGTTGGCGAGGGTCAGTAAAAGACTGTCTCTCCTCCTGGAACACGTGCGTAGACTGTGATAACGCTCTGGTCCGCCGACGTTTATGCTTACGACTAAATGAACATAAGAAATTGATGGCCGCAAAACAGTTACGTCCCCAACTAGATCGACACACTGAGTCCCTGTTTAAGGAAGAAATAGCGAAAGGAGTGTTTGAGGTCGACAGGACGACCTCCTCGTGGGGTAGCCTGACACAACATACAGTTAGCTGTAGACAAAGCCGTGAAAGCTGTTAATAATCTGAAACCTAAAGTTAGTAAAAGCCATTGGATCTCTACCGCCTCATCCGAACTGATTGACGCAAGAAGACTGATTCCAGCGAGCTCCGATTATGATGGGGAGTGAAAGCTACTCAAACTCAAACTAACAAGAAGTCTTCGTCACGACCTTGAACAGTGATGGGCGACAAGAGCGAAAGAGATGGAAAAGGCATCGGTGATTGGTAACACCAGACAACTATTTAGGCTGATCAGGAAAACAGATGGCAAAAGGCAAATGATAAGCGAAACAATCTGAGAAGAACGGCACCATAATTAGCTCCCAGGATAGACGACTGGAACGCTGGAAAGAAAACTTTGAGGAGCAGTTTAATTGGCCTACAGCCACGCTCAACCTGCCGAACATCCAACACCTCCCTGAATGGGATATAAACACAGGTCCTCCGTCCCTAACTGAGGTTACTAATGCTGTCACTAGTCTGAAACGAAGCAAAGTAGCAGCAACCGATGGAATGACTCCAGGGGTATTTAAGTACGGTGGAGATGATTTACCGTCTGCGTTAACTAAGGTATTAAGCAGCGTCTAGGATTTAGAGGAGGTCATGTCATTACGTCACTCACTCTTATGTATTGATTTCGTTAGTAGCCTCTTTCGTGTACAGGCGACTGTACAGCTAGAGAAAAGGAATTTGCCGAAGAGAGATTTTCCATTCAACTGGTTTTGTTTTTCATTGATGCTTGAGTGGGGATTTTGCTTTTTATCAGGTTTCGTATCTTCATTCTTACTTACTGTTAGTTACTCTGGAGTCATAAGCTGATGTGATTCGTCGTCAACCTTTGTCTTTTGAATAAATGAAAGCTCGACTGTCTGTTTTGTATTATAATAATTTAAAAAACTTACCACACAAAACTCCCTGTAGTAGTAATAGTAGTAGTAGTAGTAGTAGTGTCTTAATGTTATGTAGGCAGTTGAATTGTTTTGTCTCCTTATGAGTGTTGTGAACCTTTCTTATAATACGTATCTAGTCATATTCATATCTCTACCGCTATTAACACTCTTTTTTTCCTTTATATGTTTAAGCCATTCCGGCTTCATTGTAAAATGAATAAAGCCTAAATTCTTGGTTCATTCGTCTTTTCAAGATTCAAGCATCACTCATCGTTCTAAGACTCAATCACCTTCGTAACAATTTATTCATTTTACAATATTCATGGAACGATTTTTCCGACCTGATCGGTTCGACGTAGAACCTAACGCAGTTGGAGCTGCCAAGAAGTGGGATCACTGGTTTGCGACTTTTCCTACTTCATTGAATCAATGGGATCCGAAAATCCTTCGAAACTACATATTCTCTTCAATCATATTTCTACTTCTGTATACGAATGCATTTCTGAATGCAAAACATACGAAGAAGCTATCGACACTCTCAAGAGTCTCTACATGCAGCCTTGCAACGAAGTGTTTGCTCGACACTTGTTAGCAACGTGTAAACAAGAATCTGGCGAAAATCTGGATCAGTTTGTTCGTCGACTCAAGTCGCTGACTACAGATTGTTCATTCAGGGCAGTTACAGCCGAAGAACATCGTAACGAATCTCTACGTGATTCATTCATCTCAGGTATACAGTCTTCGATGATACGCCAGAGGCTATTAGAACAGCGTACTTTAACTTTTCAAGCGGCATACGATCAAGCACGAGCTCTAGAGATGGCACATCAACAATCGCAGTCATACAACAATCCTGTTACACCTTGCGCGTCCATTTCTTTACATGATGTACCTCATTCATCAGATTCCACACCCTCCGTCAATGAAACAACCATTGCTGCCGTTGAATCCAAATGCTTTTTCTGTGGTAATCGTAGACATCCTCGTTCCAAATGCCCCGCCCGTGATGCAGTTTGCAAAGCTTGTGGCAAGCAAGGACATTTTCAGAAGGTTTGCAGGTCTGCGCCATCTACGAAAAAAGGTCCATCTTCAGTTAACTCTATAATTTCATCTCTCGTTGTGGCTTCAGCACCTCAAAGTCTCACTGATGCTGTTACGCAGCTTACTGTCAATGGGAAATCAATGCAAGCTCTAGTGGATACCGGAAGCAGTGAGAGCTACATCTCTTCCTCAGTTGTTCGTAAGTATAACTGGAAAGTCCATAAGTCTCGAAACAGAATCACAATGGCGAGTACGAATCTTACTAGTCATACTGAAGGACATTGTCCATCTGCTATAAAAACCACACTTATGATCTATTCAAATTTTCCATTCTTCATAATTTATGTGCAGACGTCCTTCTTGGACATGATTTTTTAAAACTTCACAAACACATTGAGATTCCTTTTGGGGGATCAAAGCCGCCTTTTTCTCTCTGTGGTCTACCTTGTGTTCGCGTCGACCTGCCTACTCTGTTTGAAAATCTTTCAAAAGACTGTAAACCGATCGCGATAAAATCCCGGCGTTATTCTCGTGAAGATGAAAGTTTTATTTCCACCGAAGTCAACCGGTTACTGCAAGAAGGTGTTATTGAACCTTCTAATTCTCCTTGGCGAGCTCAAGTTCTTGTTACGTCAAACGAACGCCATAAAAAGAGGATGGTAGTTGATTATAGTCAGACAATCAATCGATTCACTTTTCTGGATGCTTACCCATTACCTAGGATTGACGAAATGATAGAAAAAATCGCACAATATGACATATTCAGCACTCTTGATCTGAAGAATGCTTATCATCAAATTGCCCTAAGGAACGAAGATAAACCATATACTGCTTTCGAGGCTTGTGGGAAACTTTACCAATTTTGCCGAATTCCTTTTGGTGTTACCAATGGCGTAGCTTGTTTTCAACGCATTATCGATGAATTGATCAGTAAAGAACAACTCACAAGCACGTTTGCCTACATTGACAATGTCACTATCTGCGGCAAAACTCAGGAGGAACACGACAAAAATCTAAACAAGTTTATGGTAGCAGCACGCAATTATGGAATAACCCTTAATGATTCCAAAAGTGTGATCTCAAGCAGAAGCATACAATTACTCGGTTATGAAGTTTCAAAGGGGTTATTAAACCAGATCCCGATCGGCTAAAACCTCTTCGTGATCTAGAACCACCCACAGATATCAAATCTCAACAACGGGCCGTTGGATTATTTGCTTATTATTCACAGTGGATCCCTCGCTTCTCAGATAAAATCCACCCATTGGTAAATAATCGGATTTTCCCTCTTGATATCGAAACTCGAAATGCTTTTGACAAACTGAAAGACGACTTAGAACGTGCAGTCGTTGTGGTAGTTGATCCGAAAGCACCCCTTGTTGTTGAAACAGATGCTTCAGATGTCTCAATTGCAGCTACATTAAACCAGAATGGTAAACCTGTCGCCTTCTTTTCTCGAAGCCTCTCTCGAAGTGAGAAACATCATTCATCGGTTGAGAAAGAAGCCTATGCCGTGGTTGAAGCAATTCGTAAGTGGAAGCATTACCTTCTCGGAAATCACTTCAAACTTGTCACTGATCAACGTTCAGTAGCATTCATGTTTGACAAGATTCATAAAGGCAAAATCAAGAACGATAAAATAATGCGTTGGAGAATTGAGCTATCCCCTTATCAATATGACATCATTTATCGTCCTGGAAGGGATAATCAAGCTGCTGATACATTTTCCCGTAGTTTCTGCGGTTCCTTGCAGTCAGTGTGCGACTTGAAATTTCTCCATGACTCTATGTGCCATCCTGGAGTTGTCCGAATGATGCATTTTGTACGCTCGAGAAACCTTCCATTCTCCCTTGACGAGGTGCGCAATGTAACCAGTAAATGCGTGACATGCTGTGAGTTAAAGCCTCAATTTTACAATCCCTCTAATTTCAAACTCATAAAAGCAACCCAACCTTTTGAAAGGTTAAGCATCGACTTTAAAGGACCTCTACCGTCAGCTAGCCGCAATCACTATCTGCTCACGCTGATCGATGAATATTCTCGATTCCCCTTTGCATTCGCCTGCCCCGACATGTCGTCTCAAACGGTAATGAATTGCCTTTGCCAACTGTTTTCGATTTTCGGTATGCCTTCTTACATACATACCGACAGAGGCGCTGCTTTCATGTCTACCGAATTACGGGCATTTCTTCTGGAGAAAGGCGTAGCAACCAGTCGTACTACCTCATACAATCCTCAAGCCAATGGGCAGGTCGAGCGCCTCAATGGAACACTTTGGCGTGCCATCACTCTAGCATTAAGATCACGGGGCCTACCAACGGCACAATGGGAGTCTGTTCTACTCGACGCCTTGCATTCCATCAGATCTTTGCTCTGTACTGCAACGAACGACTGTTTACCTATAACCGAAGATCGACATCTGGGACAACTCTTCCTACTTGGCTCACTGTACCAGGACCAGTACTTCTCCGGCGGAGTGTTCGTCAGTCCAAATTCGATCCCCTGGTTGAAGAGGTGGAGCTATTGAATTGTAACCCGCAATTCGCTCACGTTCGCTTCGGTAATGGACGTGAAGATACAGTTGCTCTTCATCATCTGGCACCCAAAGGCGAAGATATAGATCAAGTTGAAAATTCAATACCGGAGGGCGACGCAATTCCTGAGCAACAAGTAAATGGGGATGCGACCACTGATCCTAATATTCTTCGTGAAGAAAATACAACTGAAACGAACAACGGGCGTATTCTTTTGGAAAAACAACAACGTGTACGGCCTTACAATTTGCGTACCAGAGAAGCGTGACATAATGGCTCATTCCTTTTCAAGCCGCAGTGAATGTTGTGAACTTTTCTTATAATACGTATCTAGTCATATTCATATCTCTACCGCTATTAACACTCTTTTTTTCCTTTATATGTTTAAGCCATTCCGGCTTCATTGTAAAATGAATAAAGCCTAAATTCTTGGTTCATTCGTCTTTTCAAGATTCAAGCATCACTCATCGTTCTAAGACTCAATCACCTTCGTAACAATGAGTTCCTCGTCAGGTGAACTAGTGGTTATATGAGTGCTCCTAAACCCGATAAATAGAATAGATGCTGTGCTTAATTGATCTATGGTTTTTCTGAATACAACATCGATCTATAGCAACTCTAACATTATGTTTAGTGTAATTACTGAAATTGAACGAAAATATAACTAAGTCTATGATTCTATATATTGATATAGGAAGCAAAGAGTCAATATACTTCACGGGTTACCAGCGTATGACTGAATTATTTTCTCGCATTTTTCAAACTAGTGAATTCAATGACAGATTGGGAATTTTTAAGGTATTTATAAAAATTATTGAATTGAATTCTAGATTTTCCCGTCGATTGATTGGACCGAAGTGTTTGGTCTCAGGTTGACATGTCGGCTTCTTGTGCAGATGCTTCGACGATGTCTGGGGATTTGATTTGTATACAATTGGTGGATGGTGTCTAGCAGTGGAATCCAGGATGCGCATTTCGTCCTAATTGGGACTCGTCAGCTGGATGTACCTGCATTTCTCAGTGAGTGATGATGTTCCCACCTAGGCTCGAACCCAGTGCCCATAGTTTCAAACGCCAAAGCGTTATCCACTAGACCACTTGGGCCACGAGAGCCACCTCTTGTGCAACGGGTCATATATTAATTATTAAATTGAATTCTTGATTTTACCGTCGATTGATTGGACCGAAGTAGCCCAAGTGGTCTAGTGGATAACGCTTTGGCGTTTGAAACTATGGGCACTGGGTTCGAGCCTCGGTGGGAACATCATCACTCACTGAGAAATGCAGGTACATCCAGCTGACGAGTCCCAATTAGGACGAAATGCGAATCCTGGATTCCACTGCTAGCCACCATCCAACAATTGTATTTATAAAAATGACTAGAAAAATCAGTTATAGTAATTGCTGAACTAGAATCCACTAGAAATTCATTTAGCTGTAACATGGTTGGTTATTTCAGTGTTTCACTCTGTTCAGTCTGTCCAGTCGGGTATAAAATGAATCATAGATACTTGATAGGAAAAGTATACTTAGTTTCGAGTTAAACTGATCTCAGCAATATAGTCCTTTATTGATTTGTTTGACTATACGCCGTTGAAATGCACAGTCTAAAACATACAGGCAGGTTTTTCAGGTTTATTCCCAACAAATGCATAGGCTGGCCTAATACTCTATAATATATATATATATATATATAATTTTTTAGACTGTCATATTTCCATTGTATTTGTTGTCACAGTCCTGATTGTTTAACCACCACACACTTCATTCTGCTGATTAACTAGTTGAATTATACATGAGAAACTGTTGTTTTTACCATTTTATTTTCACTTTTTGAAATCATACTTTCTCATTACCTTTTTCAGCGGGATCCGAATTACAACGAATTTTCAAACTGCAGAAATTCTTACTTGCATATATCATCAGCGTACACTCCACCCTCAAGTTTGAAAAGCCCTTCGTTACCAATGAATTCAAACGCTCCTGTGTTACATGCTACTGAGAGTCCCAAGGGCGAAGAAGTTGATTCACATTCTGGTAAAATTTCCCATGGAAAGTCTTCGCTAGCATCCACCTCTATGGATATTAGAGATACAGCTGAAACCACTCGTACTCTGACATCACTGCCTTTTCATAATCAGCGTCGTAGTATGTTAGTGAGCGGTTTAGGTAGTTTAAGTGGTAGCAGTAGTTGTATGGCTGATCGAAGCATGTCCAGTCCTGCGCCGTCTAATGAACCGGAAAGTCCATTTTTCTCTGCTGCATCTCTTTCTCACAACGATATGACCTACTTTATATCACCGAAAAACAGCTTTGTTCCATGTGAACCAAACTTAAATAAATCATCTGATCATTCTGAAAATACCGTATCACAAACAGAGATATCAAGTATTCATTATGATGCAGACCAACAGCAGGATAAAGGCGTAGCTCAACCAGTGGTCTCTCAAACAAACTGTAAACCAAACACAAGTAAGATAGTTTTATGTCTAATTGTTTATTTATAGTCATATTTTTATTGATTGTGTCTGCACATAGTTTATATCTAGTTAGTGCATTGTGATACTAAACTATTGTGATTTGATGTTGCGTTTTCCTCCCCTTATTCTGTGTGCCGCTGGACTGGTCTGAACCAACTTCAAGTTTAAAAACAGAGAGTGAAGCGGTTAAATGCGTAGACCAATTCAATTGCTCATGAAACTGACTGCATCAGCTCTGACAAACTGGTTACTAACAGAATCTCAGTACATTAGTAATAGGCTCTTTTAACACTTACCAACCTGTGTCATCTTTGATGCCGACAGGATATCCGGCTACCTAACGGTGTGTTTGCTGCGCAACATTTCAATCTAATTTACTTTATGGCTGTGAGACATAACCAGGGAAGTTAGGCGAGGCAACACACTAAGTAGTGTTCAGACTAAATGTGGACTGCTAAGTGAAAAAGGCAAGTCAGTTGATGAGATTGTGTAGTTTACCGATTCAATTGGTAACTTCCCGTCTTCTTCGTGGGCATTGCAGGATGGAGGAGACTTGGAATTGGTCAGAACAAGATATACCACCAGTCAATTATTCATTCACCTCTCGTAATTTCCCAGATTGTGGAATAGTTCATCAATTTCCATTTGATTCTTCATCCATTGAGTTCCATTCTACTTCTTTTCTTATGACTTTGTGTGTGATTTTCTGAAGTGTGCCAACTGGAACTGATAGACTTTTCGCAAAGTTCTACTTTTTAGGTCAGTCAGTGTATTAGGTCGACTGTTAGTCTGTTTTTTGGTCGCAGTATGTGCATAGATTATAGAACAGGACGCTTTCAACCCGGTCTCAGTTGAATGTCGTCTATATTATACTAGGTTTCATAGTTCGGTGGTACCTGTGAACGATCATGAGGACGCTTGCGTGTTGACAGTGGTCGTTGACATGGCCACATTACTGAGTGTTGATCGTTGTTGCGTATATATTGTTGTTAAAATTCACATACATTTTTAGATACGTTACATTTTCCCTATCTTCGCATAATCGTTTATTTATCTTTGTATGGTTTCACTTCTATTCATTCCCTTTTCTTTACCGTTGTTATGGCAATTGTGTAAAGTTTTCCGTTATTTTCCCAGCTTACTTGCAGCTTCGTTGAACATCTTTTTTCTTCTGAGCATGAAATGTGTTAACTTAAGCAGATTTGTTTTCATGAAGTTAACCACTATAAAAACTACCTTGTTGCATTATTTACTACTAAATTTTGAGTTTTGAAGTTTTATTTCAAAAGAACTCTCCTTAAGTCAGCTATCAATATGCAGATATCTTATCTGTTATTCTAAACCTCACTATATGTATATCTCATTTCCAGATACTGTCACTTCTCAACGATCATATGATATTTCATTCAATGAAAAACGGAATTTCGCTCCACGCTTGCATTTGGGGAATAAACAGTAAGTTAAATTATTGTGTAGCTTTAAATCTTGTTTCCCAAGCATTGACTTAAAGTGGTTAATAGAGCATGGGTCTGAGTAACTCAGTGGTAACTTCTTTGACTGCATCAGTCAGTAGCTGATGCAGACTAGAGCCTCTGATGGAATATCAGTTCTTTCGAAGTTGCCGATACACCGTGTTGATGAGTTCCAAAGGGTAAAAAACCTAGAGCTAGTGCATTGTGCTGATTGCCTCCAAGCAGCTAAAAAATTCCCGCATTGGTACATACACAAATTAGCACTTTCGTGATGAGATATGATTAATTCATCTTACCGTTCAGTCAAGGTACATAACTACCGGTGAAAAATTACAGTGAATAGTTTTTGGAAAATATTGTGAAGATAAAGCAAACAGAAGAATGACCGCAGAAGTGTGTGTGTCTGTAAGAACACTATTTGTGTTTTAAATTTTTAATCCAATTGGCATCATATTTCCTGTAGTTCAGTTTAGTGTTTTGACTGTTATTTATCTATAATGACTCAGGATTCCTATAGTTAAGGCTTAAATTCAATTTTATCCAGTTTACAATGTTATAAGTCTGCGAAACAGTTTTCTATCAAATCTCTAGGTCATATATTAGACTAATTCACATGATATGTCTGTCTGTACTACTAGGTCGCATTATTGTTCATCTTTTTGTACATCTTACCAGGACGATGTGACGATGATAAGTGTTGTGATGATGAGTTTTATTCCAAAGCGTATGAAGCTGCACATAGTTTTAACAATCTAGTGTTTATAAGATTTCATAGGGAATCTCAATTGGTGCAGGCGTGCCACCTAGTATTTAAAGCTACTTGGAAAAAGTATTCACATATTTCACCTGATTATACTGGGTTGAATTCTTTCATGCTGAAATTTTTTCCAACCTTCGTTCTAGTACGGTTGATTGTCGTCGCTGGTCTCTAGCCTCACTACCTTCATCCGGTTATGGCACTAATGCATCGGAAAGTGGTAGTCATTTGTCCGTAAGTTATCTTGTTTACCTGAATTATAATTTAATATACTATCTTAATTAACAGATTAGATTATGTCATGACCTTGAACTGCAATTTTAAGGTGGTTTGTAACAATGCAAATACTAATACTACTAGTCACTGGTGTGTTGTACTGCACGACTAACTCTTGACACCCTACACTTTTACTTGTAAATAATTTATGTTTTGTGCTCAGATAAGCGGAGCATATTTTTGTGTAGCATGTGAGTTATGATCTAAAGAATAAGTGATTTTTATCCAAAAAGGCCATCTCTATCTCTTTCAGTTATGTGGCATAGATTTCTCACCTACCGGGCAATGAGCCAAACTTATACTTTGAGGCACACTGACTGAAAGTCAAGTGCTTAAGTGTCTAAATTATTCAGAATGTTACCTCTCATCATCTGTATTCATAAAAGTTTTGTCTTAGCTTTCTAGATGTATTATCTGTATCTATCCTGCTTACTTCTGCTTCACAATTTCTAAAATCTTGAAGTAACCAGTACGCGTTGTGCTGTCTCAGCTTTATTGCATTTTAAAAGAAAAATAGTCGGTGCTAACAACTTTTGAGAATATTTGCTTGTTATAAAAGCCTTTTTTGCTACAAAGTTCCACTGAATGTATATATGTTAACAATCTCTCCCTCAAAATTTCTGGTAGATATTATTCATTCCACGCTTTATTTGTCCGAAAATATCCTTTTTATTTTCACTTCGGAGTTTGTTTGTTTTTCGTTAATGGAGTTAGTGACTTCATTTCATGTACATTATTTTATATATTCTGTAGCATTTTTTTAGAAGAATTTTTCTAAATTTCTAATTTGTCTGCCAATACACGACTTTTAAGATCTCGAAAAATAAAAGCCAAACCTCCCTTAATGTTAGCTTATGTATATTTGTAAATCTTGTAAATAACATTTTTGTTTTTCGTATTATTTTATATGCTTATATTTCGTGAGACGGGCTAACATGTTTAAACATGTGCACTAAGAACTTCAACTGTCATTCACTGACTGACCTAACAAATTTTGATTGAAAAGACTAGTATCCAAATATCGTATGAACTACTGATTACTAGTTGGTTAAATTTGTTTGAACAAACCATTTCTTGTAATCATGGAAAAATCGTTTCTCCTTTCACCTGTTTTACGATAACATGTTTTTGGTAGTGTAATGTAACATATTTTGCTTGAGGCTTATTGCATAGAAAAAAATTAAAAGTCACTTTATTCTTGTAACAGTAGAAGGCAAGACACGGAAGCCAAAGTATATTTTTCATTAATCAAAGCTATATATATATATATATATATATATATATATACAGCTTATATTCTTTAACCAATCACCGAGCGTGTGATTTCGGCTTACATCAAACATTATGAAATAGAATGTTCAAGTATACATAGTTTTCTGTTGTTAATGTCGAATTGAACTGTGAGGATATTTGAGAGTAATATTCCGTTGGCACACATTGTCTATATCACACCACCACATTCTTAATCACTTATTACATTAAACTCGATCTTTGTATTCTATTGTGTTACAGCGTAGTCGATGTTCATCTCGAGAAAATGTCTCGCATATTCCTCCAGCACAGATCAACACTCAACATCCCATAAGCCGTGCAACTTCAGTTTTTAGGAAGTATCAAACATCATCGCAAATGGCATCAACTAAATGTTTACCAATTGAACGTTCCTATTCAATGAGATCACCTTCGATACCTGTATCTTCACACTTTCCAAATTCTATATCTCCATTGTCATTCTCATCATCTGTTGGTCAAAATGAAACATCATCAGGTATTTACGGCACTTCACGTTCACCGAAAGACTCATATACATCAGAAACAGGAAATGATAATTCACCGTTTAATGTTTCATCTCCATTGTATACTTCAGTGTGCGGCGCAGATTCTAAAAGTGTACCAATTACTCCTATTACTCGTACATCACCTAGAATTATACATGGTTTCAATAGCGGGATTCAAGTATGTATGAACTCTAGCTTTGGGAGTTGCCGGACACGTTCTCGTAGCTTGAGGTAGGTGATATTGTAATTTTTGTGTGTATATTTAACTGTGCTTGTCTAAATGTCTAACTTCCCCATATTTATTTCACATCTTAAAACTCTTTTTATCTCACCCATTATATTTTCAGAAGTGGTCAGTGAACAATATACGAATTTCTCTTAATGTTCTTCACTCTAAAGGATTTCGGCGTTTAATGTAGGAGCTGTTTTGGGGGTATCGGTAATCCACTCAGCTCTGGAATCAGACGTCAGCCTTCATTCTGATTCACAATATTTTGCTGTCGTTAATTCACTCTACGCAGTGTCCCTAATATGTCTATCCACCTATCAGTTCGGTGAACGATAGCGACTGGGACTTACAGTACTTATCCAACTTCAATTTATCATTTCAAATGGGAAATAAATCCTTTTCAACCGTCTTCACAAAGTTCTGGTATGCGATTCCATTTAAGTAGTATGGAGGAACACTTAATTCACTCTATGAATCTCTGAAAACTCAATATCTACTTGATGTACACCTAGAAGCATACCGGTAGATTTAATCTGCATAAATATGCATTTGTATACTCAGCTTGCCTAGTAAATGTCCAATCTGTATATGATTGGTCACACCTCATGAGTTCAATGAACCTGTAATCATAATACATGTGTTTAAAATAATCAAAATACTAAAATCCCTAAGATGCTAAATATAAAACATGATTCTCTTATGTATTGCCTATTTTGCTGTTGATTTGGTGCAACCTTATTGGTCTTTTTTATTGAACTCTAAGTGATTTATTTATCCGCTTAATTCGTTTAATAATTCATGTCTTATTTGTTTATATTTCTACTCTTCTTAAATGGCAGTCCTTTGCGTGTCACAAATGTTGGTGGTGAACAAGATATACTACTGTTAAACCATGTTTACCGAGAACGTTTCCCAAAGGTTCGTTATTCGATTTGTAATAAGCACTTTTTGTTAATACTATTACAGAAACCTTGTTCTTAGTATCACTTATATGGTAGTTATCACCCCTTTACAACCAGAATATTTTTTATTTTTGTTTTATTCCATTACATCCCGAGTGGAACATGGGTCTTCAGGCTAGAGCTCTAAAGTTTCGGTAGCAGTGGTTTTATTTTTACGGTGTAGGGACGCCCAACATTCCCTCTTTACTGGCCGTATCACCAGCTTGGCCAGGTGTGGGAATGCCTTGGTTGGCGATCGAACAGCAGACCATGTGCGTGGTTGGTTAGCGTTCTACCGTTAAACCACCGACGCGCACGACAAGAATGAAGTAACCACTGTCTCATTTCAACAGATCAGCAACAGCAGTGTGCAACCTAAACAATGAAAGTTAATAGTTTTATTGTCATCTTCACTTCACTCTGTGACCACAAACAACGGTGAGACCCATGGAAACACCCCAGATAGCCTTTTAAAGCCATGTCGCCAACTTCATGTAGGAGCGTTTAACGTAAGGACCCTCTGCCTAATCGGACTACAGGCATCACTAGCAAAAACTCTGGCATCTCGAGCCATGGATATATGCTGTGTTTCGGAGACACACATACAAGACCCGAGTGTGGTCATTCACTTAACCTCACCCGGTCAACGAGGTGAATCTGCAAAATTCACTTTAAGAGTGTCAGGAGACCCCTCAGCTAGTTGGCGAGGACTCTCAGGTGTAGGGATAGCTTTGAGTGTTAGGGCGGAAAAATCCCTTCTTGACTGGATCCCAGTAGATAGTCGTATGTGTGCAGTCCGTCTGAACGGTTCCGATAGAAGAAAGAAGGACGGCGTTACCCGTCGTTGTCTTTTCGTAGTCTGCACTTACTCCCCAATAGACTGCAGTTCGGATGAACTAGAGGATGATTTCTATCTGAAACTGTCTAATTTTCTGCGAAACCTGGCGGCCTCCATCACCAAATCAACGTTGGACTCAGATAGACCACATAGCGATAGGGTATCGTTGGCGAGGGTCAGTAAAAGACTGTCTCTCCTCCTGGAACACGTGCGTAGACTGTGATAACGCTCTGGTCCGCCGACGTTTATGCTTACGACTAAATGAACATAAGAAATTGATGGCCGCAAAACAGTTACGTCCCCAACTAGATCGACACACTGAGTCCCTGTTTAAGGAAGAAATAGCGAAAGGAGTGTCTGAGGTCGACGGTGGAGACAGTTTACTGTCTGCATTAACTGAGGTTCTAGGCAGCGTCTGGGAATCAGAGGAGGTCCCATCGGGTTGGTGTAAGTCACTGATCATCCCGATGCACAAGAAGGGATGCAAGTCTTCCTGTGATAATCACAGGGGGATTAGCTTGACTAATAGAGTATCTAAAGTCCTAGGCTCAATAATATTGCGTACACTACTCAGTGGTGCTCGGGAGGCAGAAACACGAGAGAGCCAGACAGGCTTTAGACCAGGAAGAGGGTGTATTGATCATATCTTCACACTCTGACAGATTCTTGAACATAGGCCTTCTAACCGGCGTCCAACAATAGTTATATTTCTTGACCTGAAGGCGGAATTTGAATGTGTCGACCGAGAGGTTCTCTGCCGATGCTTGGCTGTAAAAGAAATGACGAGAAAATACATTGCACTGATTAAAGCACTCTACACGTACTCATGCAGCCAGGTCAGGGCTTACGGCGAGTTGTCATCTGAAGTGGCGACGACTAGTGGTTTCCATCAGGGATGCCCATTATCCCCATTTCTATTCAACTTCATCATAGACCTACTAATGGACTTAACCCTAACTCACTTCAGCGGCTCAGGGATTGACTTGCCTTCAGGGGATAATCTCGTTGACTTAGAATATGCAGACGATATAGTCCTTCTAGGCGAGGACGCTGACAATATGCGGAGTCTTCTGAACACCTTGAGCTGCAATCTACGAATGTTTGGCATGTGATTCGCTCGCGCCAAATGTAAGATGATGTTACAGGACTGGACTACACCGACTCCTAGATTAGAAATAGGAAATGAAGTGGTAGAATACGTTGATCGCTTCACCTTTTTGGGAAGTACCATCAGCCAACGCCAACGGGTTGATCTCTGACGAAATCTCAGCATGGATACAGAGGGCTAGTTTCGCATATGCCAGTTTACGCCATCTCTTCCTTAGTAAACGTGATATCCTACTGGCGGGTGTACTGCTTATCAGTCCGCTCCGTCCTGCTTTATGGCTGTGAGTGAGATGTGGCCATAGAGAGTGGAAGACATAAAAAGATTAGCTGTCTTTGATTATAGGTGCCTGCGTTTTTTCTCCCGTGTGAAGTGGTATAATAAAGTGAGCAATATTGAGGTTAGGCGTCGAGTGCTAGTTAAGGAGGGGAAATCAATCGACGAGGCTGTGCGTCGGTGGCACAGTGGTTAGGATTCTCGCCGACCATGCACATTGTCCGGGGTTCGACCCCCTGCCGACACACACCTGATATCTATGGTCGGCCTGCAAAATTTGGGCTACCGATATCATAGGCTGAAAATTCCATACTTCTAACAAAAAGTACTGTGTGGAATCAAGCTGTGACCAAAAAAAATTTTACATCGACTGCGATGGTTAGGACATAATGTGTTACCTATGCATATCTAGACATTGCCTACCTCAACGGGCAATGTTAGCTGATATCGGGTCAGACTGGAAAAGAGCTAGCGGCGGTCAAACCGAAACATGTCACCAGTCAATGAAATCTACAACAATTAGTCTAAGCCATGTAGGAAGGTGTAGACTTCCTGGTTGGGGTCCTCGGGACGGTAAAAACCAATGGTGGGAAACAATTGGTGACATGGCTCAAAATCGTTCTCAGTGGAGCAGATGCATCCACTCCTTGTGACGTATGATTTCCAATGAAACTGTTATGTTCTTCGTTATTACTATTCCTTTGTCCCACATCTCTGTTTACTGTCTCTGTTATGCAATTCTTCTTTTGCTTTGTGTGTTACATGGAGTGTGGTGACTTGAACTGCCGCACATCGGTGCAAAGTTCTCTGTCGAAAACAGACAGACAATAGTTTTATTATAGTTTTGACATACTTTGGATCATTGGAAAAAAAAGAGTGCGTCGGTGACACAGTGATTAGGACTCTCGCCGACCATGCACATGGTCCGGGGTTCCATCCCCTGCCGACACACCTGATATCTATGGTCGGCCTGCAAAATTTGGGCTACCGATATCGTAGGCTGAAAATTCCATACTTCTACCAAAAAGTACTGTGTGGAATCCAGCTGTAATAAAAAAATTAAAATTACATAGATGAGTCATAATGTTTAGTCCGTATAATCGAAAATACTATTATATATACATATATATATATATATATATATATATATATATATATATATATATATATATATGCTGGAAGTTTCTTGATAAAAACAAAACAGTTGTGTGTTACATGGAGTGTGGTGACTTGAACTGCCTCACATTGATGCAAAGTCCTATGTCGAAAACAGACAGACAGTAACCCAATTGCTTTTGAAAACTTTGTTTTTCTGTTTTGTAGTTCCTTCAAACTCTTGTATTCTTTTCATCTCTTAAGTAGGATCACATTTCATCCGTTCTTATGTTCATCCTGATTACAACTCATTCATTAAATTACTTACGTTATTACGTCACTCTCACTTTTATTCAACTCTTATGTATTGATTTCGTTAGTAGCCTCTTTCGTGTACAGGCGACTGTACAGCTAGAGAAAAGGAATTTGCCGAAGAGAGATTTTCCATTCAACTGGTTTTGTTTTTCATTGATGCTTGAGTGGGGATTTTGCTTTTTATCAGGTTTCGTATCTTCATTCTTACTTACTGTTAGTTACTCTGGAGTCATAAGCTGATGTGATTCGTCGTCAACCTTTGTCTTTTGAATAAATGAAAGCTCGACTGTCTGTTTTGTATTATAATAATTTAAAAAACTTACCACACAAAACTCCCTGTAGTAGTAGTAGTAGTAGTGTCTTAATGTTATGTAGGCAGTTGAATTGTTTTGTCTCTTTATGAGTTCCTCGTCAGGTGAACTAGTGGTTATATGAGTGCTCCTAAACCCGATAAATAGAATAGATGCTGTGCTTAATTGATCTATGGTTTTTCTGAATACAACATCGATCTATAGCAACTCTAACATTATGTTTAGTGTAATTACTGAAATTGAACGAAAATATAACTAAGTCTATGATTCTATATATTGATATAGGAAGCAAAGAGTCAATATACTTCACGGGTTACCAGCGTATGACTGAATTACTTTTTTGCATTTCACCTACTTAATGTTTTTTAAACTAGTGAATTCAATGACATTGGGAATTTTTAAGGTATTTATAAAAATGACTAGAAAAATCAGTTGATGAAGCCGAGTCTATCAATGAAATCCACAACAGTTAGTTTAAGCCAGCCATTCACGTAGGAAGATGTAAACTCTCTTATTGTCGTCCTCGGGACGGTAAACACGAATGAAGGCTGGAGACAATTGGTGTTGTGGCCCAGAATCATTCTCAATGCAGATGCATCCCCTCCTTGTTATTTATCATATCCAATAAAACTACTGTTCTTCGATATTACTATTCTTTTTCCCTCACTCACACTTTTGTCTTTTGTCTCTTTTTAATCTCTTTCAACTCTCTTTTCTTTCTTTTTCTGCTACGTGGAGTGTGGCAACTCGAACATCTGTGCAAAGTTCTACGTTGAAATCAGTCAACCATAGACTACTGAGATATTCGTTAACTTGTGTAGACGCAGCTGATCTATCTGTTCTACGCATTTGAGTCACATCTCGTCCAAGTGATCAAACTAAGTTGTTAGTTTTTTATTTGCTTTTCTGCGAACTACTCAACAACAGCAAAATGTCTACTAGACAGTCAAACTTTTTATTTTTGTAAAATTATAGGTTTATTTAACTGATGGGTGATATTTTATGCAAAATATGGGTTCAGATCTTCAGTGAGTTGTTATTGTTCTTGTGCATTTGTGTCAATTGATTTCTGTTTTGTACTTTACTATTAGGCTTCTGCTCATATGCAGAAACAGTTAGCTTCTCTTGCTGATGAAATGGAAAACATGGATACAGTGTCTTGGAGTGCAGTGGCCAGGTTTGTTCACTGTCAAGTTGTACAACATGCACGAGATTGTCTTCAGAAAGCCCTTTCTGGTCTTGTCACCTGTCGTTATTTTTACGAAATGACTGAAAATTTGGGAAAGCTCATTGAAGATGTAAGTATCAATAGATACATTTTATTTATCATCATTGTTTTTTAAGTCTTTTATTTCTCTGTGTATATGGGTGTCTTTATTTCGTGAAGAAATAGCATCAGTTATCAGTAAGTTCAGCTTCAAGTGGGGTATAATAAAGTGTAATTTCTACTGTTATGCTTTGCGTATTAGTATATCACTTTAACTGTGTCAACTGCAAACTACTTGTAATTTTAGGTAGTTTGAGGTTGATGCAAACCTGTGAAATAGAATGTTATCATTTTATACTGCAAATCTGGTCTTTCTTTCTTTATTGAAACTTATGAAGGTAACCAAGTGTATGAAGGTACTGTGTAACATTAGTCATTATCTTAATGAAGAAAATGTCACTCTTGTACATTGAACAGTTTTTTATATAGTAACTTATTACCTACACAAATAAACTTTAATTGTTTGGAGGATTGATCATGAAGTCTTTTAGTGTCGGAAAAGTCATTTGCATATTAGTTAAACTAAAAGTAGTAAACGTCATAGTGTAAGTTACCCGCATGACAATGGGAGTTTAGGGGTGGAGTCGTATCGATGGTAATAAAAGATATGAAGGTTGTGAAGTGTTTTACTCTGATATTCAAAGTGTCAACTGTACTAACCTCCCACATTAGGGAACGAATTAGAAAACGTCCAATTCCCAGCGATAAGGTGTTACCGCACAGTTGGAACTTCACTAGTTTAATTGACTTTGAACAGGTTGAGTCTGACCAGCTTCAAGAAAATGTATTCTACAACACGGTGACATATGCATTCATGCCTTATATTCCTCTTGATTGTAATGTCACAACTCTCCGCTTGCTTTGTCTTTTATCCTTATGTCTTACAACACTGTGATTTTCGATTATATTGTTACCAACTCCTGTTTTCTTCAGATCCCACTTGATGTGCGCTAATGAGGTATGACAGTTTGCACATTGTTTGGTTGTGTTCTACGTTCTTAGTGTAATTCAAAACGCAATTTGATATCTGGGTATTCTTATTCCGTTCATATACTCATGCTGAAGCAGTCTGAACAAAATTCTTAGACAAACGCTTTAACCAATGCGTTAATCCCCGAATGGAAAGTGGCGAGGTGGTCGTCAGTGCCGAGGGTTACATGGAGGAGGTCATGTGATGCGGAGGTGAAAGCATGTGGGTGAAGACTTTGGCAGAGAACCGAACGCAATGGAGACGTGTGGCTGAAGCCCTTTGTTTCTCCAGGAATTAAAGGAAACCGTAATAATTGTGAAATTGTGTACGAACACTTATTTTTGTTTTATCGTTAAATACAAGAATTCATTCCCTGAGAAATATAAATGAGACCTTGGGGATATCCATGTAACCTAAGGATATGAGAACTTGTATCAAACAGCAGCTTTGTACAGAATATGCTTTATGTTAAATGTAATTGAAAATTACCTGTAACATCGTAAAGTCAACTGAGTTTTGTTGAAGATAAGCCAAGATTCCATAATCTAATCAACTAAACTCATTTGTTGCATCTTACAAATTATATTTTTATCAAATAGTGTGATTATGCTAAAATCACACTGATGTTAACCTCCTAAGTAAGTGCCTTTGTGAAGGTCGTCTGGTTATATTTCGTCATGTCTACGTTAAAAGGCTATACTTCAGTTGGCGAATTTGTATGCACTTGTCTCGTTTTAAAAGTTATACATTCGTACCTAAACATTACTGGTGTTCATGTCTCATGACATAGAAGTTTAACATGGTCCACAAAAGTACACTTCTTAGCAAAATGTAATCGAATAAACCAATATATGGAGGTGGAAATTACGTAAGGATTACTTCAGTGTTTAACATTGTAAATAAGCTATCGGAATAAAATAACCGTGAATTGAAATCAATTAATAGGTATTATGTAACAATAGAGGGAAGATGTAGTGTCTGTTAAAAACTTACGTCATCATGTCTCAAGACAAGGTAGAATGGTTAATTAGGCTAAAGACATTAGTCACGACTCCCTGGTTGGAGTCCGAGAGAAAGCTCAAATCGATGGCTCGAAACGTTATCGGATATGGCCAAGAATCGCAGTCATCAATGGCGAATGTGTTGCGATTTCCTTCTTTCTTCCCTTCCCGATGATAGTTAACGAATACTGTTTGAACTTGTTAAGCATGAGTGTTTTCCTTCCAGATGAAGTTCTTTATCCGTTCTCTACTTATATTTTTTTCTTTTCCTTCCTTCCTTTTTTTTCTTTTTGATCTATGTTGTTTTATTATTATTGTGTGGTGCATCCTTCTTTGTGCCATATTGTACCAAGTTTTTTATGTGTTTAAATAATAATATCAAGAGGCGTACAAGTTAAGCTAGTGGGAAAGTTGTAAAGTCTAAGTGTATTTCAATACAAATGTAGAGCGGTTGAAAGTAAATCCTCGGAAGACTTTGTTGTATGGAATATTTCTCATTCAAGTATACATTTAGGTGAATGAAATATTCATTTTGTAGACACAAAATGTTCCTCTAGATACAATAAGATGATGTCTTTAAGTTCTAACTAAAGTATATAATTGCCTAAGGACAGCCTTTTGTCTCAACTTTTAACTTATGGCTTTATCTATCCATTCGACCACAATTGCAGTTTTCAGTCGATTTGTCTAGTATTCATCACTGACATTTGCAATTGTTATGGCTCATAACTTGGCTAATGAATTTTCACGTGACTTCCGTGGAATATGTAGCTTCTTAAACAGCTGCAGTTGGGGTGAAAGTTATTTTCTTTCATCAATTGAGTAGCTTGAAAATCCCCATTTAGTCATATGAAAAAGAGAAGACGTTCAGCGAAGAGACTCTTTTCGGCGAATTCATTCACATAGCTGTACAATCGCATTTATATATAATTATTTTGTGTGTGTGTGTACATGAGGTTTGTCAAAATTAGATAATTGATCAGGTAATAAAAGAATGATCTAATATAGAAACAAGGTTAATTGGACAGCAACTAAAGTAAGATTGAGTTAGTAAGTTAGATGACGTAATATAATTGACTAAAATGTTTTAACTTAGGTCAGGGTAGCAACAGAGGTAATTACAGGTAGAGACTAAGTAGAAGTGGGGTAGATAATAATGCCATTTAAATTAGAACTGAAATTGAGCAATTAAGTTGGATGACGTAACATAAATGACTAGAAATTGAGCGTTGGTCAGGTCAGTAACAGTGGTAGTGAGGTGTAGAAATTAAATCGGGTGGGGGTAGAGAACAAGAAAGTTGAAAATGCAAAATATTACAATTGAGAAGACAAAATAATACCAATGAAGAGACAGAAAAAAAGATTAGGTAGAATTTACTTGTCGGGTAATAAGATAGATTAAGTCCATTGCAAGTGTAGTGATTGAACGAACTTCTTCTGTATGCAGAGTTCAGGGCTTAGCAAGTGAATCGCCATTGCTTCTGCAGTTTGAAGAAGTCTGATTCGTACACCTTTAGGAAGACTACTTCTTACTCTGTAGACTACTTTGAAGTTTGTTTGGGGTGCAGCTTGGTGTCCGGATTCTATCAGATGTTCTAAGATGGAGCTGCGGGGACATCGTTTTTCTCCTTTGTAAAACCATGTTGGTAAGTGTTCGGTGATACGCTTGGAAAGCGAACGCTGGGTACGGCCGACATACCTGGCTCCACACGAGCAGGTGAATTGATAAATACACATTGATGAGGCCAACAGTGGTAGCTTATCCTTCACGTTCACATGAATCATAGGTTTTGTGGAGAAAGTTAGTCGTAGTTCAGCTGCGAAGAAGGTCTTCTTGAGTGAGCGCGACAGTCGATTTTTTAGTGTTTCCGCAGATATATCTCCATTGAATTGAAGGTTCATGTAGAGCGGTTTCTTCGGGACGCTAAGCATGGGCGGCTTTTGTGGCCTAGGATTCATAGATTTTGCAATAAATCGTTCTGGGTAACAATTCTCGACGAGGATTCTCTTGAGATTGTCCAGTTCATCTTCTACGGTGTCCGGGGTACAAATTCTGCGAACTCTGTAGCTAAGTGAACGGATCAGGTTCCGTTTGGTGTATAGGGGTACCCAACTGTGGAAGTTAATAAGCTGTCCGTTCCATGTTGACTTTCTGTAGATAGATCTTTTCAGTGTTCCATCCTGTTCTCGTCTTGTTAGTTGGATGTCAAGAAAGGATATTTTAGAGTTGGACTCTTTCTCCAGCGTGAACTGAATTGCGGGGTGGCAGTTGTTAAACGACTTCAGGATGTCGTCTAGATTCTCTTCATTGTTGACGATAATGAAAGTGTCGTCGACGTATCTCTTGTAGATTCCGAATTGTTGAACGTATCTTCGTTGTTCAAGCGTCAGCGAGCTATTTATCTAGGTTGTGTTTTCGTCTACATCTACAACGTCCAGTTAATCGTGTCAATTCGTTCAAGACAACAGTTATAGTTTCATTTATATCTAATTTTTTCAGATGGGGATCAAGGAAACTGAGAGTAACATGTACACAATACTTTTGTATACTGTCATCTATCTTCATCTACTATTTTTGCATTTATTTTTTAAAACTCCTAATTTAAAGAATACTTTGTACATATTTTGAATCCTTCTTGGTAACAGGAATATCATTCCAAGCTCTTACCATTTTTGTAATAACCACTTCTGAGTACTACTCATCACTGAAGTTTCATCGTCAGTACTCACCCACCACCACAATTCGAACCCAGGACCTTCCGGTTACAAGGAAAGCTAGCTCGCATACAATTCAACTACTGGGACCCGATTCACTGGCCAACCCATGAACTCTAACTTCTACGAATTCGTGATTTTAGTGTGACCACCAACCAATGTCATCGGTGGGAAATCCACCCTCACGCTCGACTGGATGGATCTCATTGTTCACGAATTCTCACTAGAACTCCAGGAAACTCCGACCTGTAGCAAGTCACCAGCGAGTATCAGATTAATTTTCAAGAGTTGTAAGGTTTGTAAGGATTAGATTTGTTTTCATATCACTCCAATGAACTTTACATGTCACATTTAATTTCATATTATGAAACCGATTCACCAGAATACGGAATTGTATTTACTTACTGATGCAAGATTGAGACATAGTTTGTGTGCAATTATTCGTGTCTGTGTTACATCTACTAGATTGTTTCGTGAATTATACTGTGTCTGTGATATGTAGCCTTTAATCAGGTAATGTAAATTTTCCAAGTTAATAAGACGGAATTATTCTTGATTATGTTTGTTAAATGAACAATAATTCTAAAATAGAATTGATGGATTCCATAGTTTTACTTTAATATCTGTGTCAGTGTGTTGCATCTTTAATGAAGTCGATAGTATTTCACAATGAAGAGGTTCGTCACAGGACACCTATAGTTGTCTTTTTAAACATTTACTCATGAATTTCTATTTGAGATGACTTCTGATGCCATGATTTACTAATCTCTAATAGTCTCTTACGATTATAAATCAACTATTTTTTTTCTTTTTTTTTTACTGTTTTTTCGTTTCATACTAGACGCGTGCTCGAGATGCAGATTCTATTCCCCTTGTAGTCACCTTTGTTCGTCGACTCCTCCTGATTATCGCACGTCCTGCACGTCTACTTGAATGTTTGGAATTTGATCCATCTGAATTTTATCAGTTATTAGAAGTTGCTGAAAATCATGTGCGTCGTCGAACACATTCAGTGAGCTTGCCAGGATCACAGATCGTGTCAGCTGATGTACCGTTATACATTATCTCAAAGTTGGGTCTCAGTAAAACAGTTCTAGATGGTAATTAAATAGTAACCTTTTTTTAAAAAAACAATGTGTTCTGTTTAGTAGCCTCTTCAGGCCTTGTGCTCATGTATGTTTTTCGATTGGTACACTGGATATTTTATTAAACTGTGACTATCCTAACGCTCAGTCTACAAATGCACCCACACGTAAAATTCAGTTAATTCATTTAGCTTGTATGTTGGAACAAATTCAGGATGCTAAGAATCGATACATTTTAACTGTTGGTGTCATAGGTCGAAAATCGTTCTCAACGGCACAGATGTGTTCACCATTTATGGTGTGCTTCACATCCTGAAAAATCCTCACTATTCTTCATTCGTTTATTCTTTCTCTGGATATTTTCGTCTATCCTAGCTTCATTACACATTCCTTGTACCCTATAATGTTGTCATGTATTCTTTTCCGACCTGTAGCCAATTAAACTGATGTACTTTTGTGTGCATGTTGATAAGTCAGTCAGATATGGATTGGAACAATACTGTTTTCGCTGTTTCCAGATAAATTGACGCAAACATCTTGTAAAGTAACTCAGATAAAAACTGATGATAAGAAAGGGTCGTCATTCTTATCGTTGTGTCCCCAATGTAAGGTAACTTTGGTAGATTCACATGCGTGAATCAATCCACTTAAATGCTTTTTTACTAGCATACTAGGTTATGATTGAAATAACACCTTGTTTTGAATTTATACAAACGTATTTTGTTCAAATATTTCTTCGATAAACCCCAATTCTCGGACACGAGTCATACAGTAAAGCTGATTCATAAAATGCATACTTTTCAGTACGTGAACATAAGTAATTGTTTTTACAAAGAAATTCTTCGAGGTGAATGATAAGTAAGTAATCGTGATTGCCCCCTGATATCGCCGAAGCGAATTGATTAGCTACTTTGAACAGATGCCTGGATATTGTCTCGATGTAATGGTCTGTCATAGCTAACGGTATAATTTAGAATGCGTGTTACTTCCTATTTAGGACTTCACAGTTAGAGGTATATGTTCCATTCCTAAGAGTGGTAGTGTTTCCACTGAGACTCTAACGGAGCATCTGTTGTTTGAAACTTATAGTCTGCAATCAAGGCGGTATGGAGTGATCCGTTCAAGGAGTCAAATGTGTTTTGTAAATATTAACGAGATATCACAACAATTCTCAAGTTTCACTAAGAATCATATAAATGCCATTGATTTACGCTTGCTATATTGAATAGTGCAATAGTGGGTTCTTCAGTATCAATAATACTGCAGCATGAATAATACTTAGTATAGTTAGTACTGGATGAATCTCCCTAGTAGTTGTGGTTCTATGATATTATTGTGACCTCACTCGGGTCACTGTTATCGGCGTATTTTTCGTGAATATTTTTAAGCTAAATAAGTTGATTCGTAGTATATTTATAATCTTGGTTTGCTTTTAATGTTTTCTTTGCTAGAATCACATAATATGGGGAATTCACGTTTGTGTCGTTCTGACATAGATGGTACATCTCAATCAGAGGGAATGAAATCCGACTTCACAACTAGAAATAGAACAACAAGTGGGTCAAACTTGGATAGTTGTGTGAATGATGAGAATGACATAGTATCACGAACAGCACGTAGCTCTAGCAGTTATGCGCCTATCCGTCCTCCATGTGAAGCTGATTTCGAGGTGATTAAACTGATATCAAATGGTGCATATGGGTAAGTGTTTTTTGCTTTGTACAAATGGGATTCATTACTTTGCAATAAAAATAATAATAAAACACGTAGTTCAGCGAAGAGTTTCTTTACGGTGAATTCATTTTCTAAACTATACAATCGCAAATATATATGTGTTATTTTGTATGTATGTGTACATTAAGTTTGTCAAACAAAAATACAATTGGTTATGGTTATTTTAACTAAACGTGTGCGTCGGTAGCATAGCGGTTAGGACGCTCGCCGACCATGCACATGGTCCGGGGTTCGATCTCCGGCCGACGCACTCCTTTACCTCACTAAGCCAGTAATAATTCTGGTAAAGAGGAAAGGTTGGGGATGAGGTTAGCAACCCCATCCTGTAAAATAAACAGTGCTACAGAGACTTCAAGCCACTAGCTTGAAGCCCTATGTTCCACTGAGAAACGTGAAGGAAAAATTTTTTTAACTAAACAGTTGAAGATTGGTAATTGGAGTTACGTAATACAAAATCAGTCAAGAAATTAGGTGTTAATGAAATTAGGGTAGTAACAAAGGTGATGAGTTGTCACAAGCAGTTGTTAAAGGAAGTTATGTAATAATATGAATAGTTTTATGAGTGAGTTTTACTCAGGATACACATAGGAGCAAAGAAGAGAATACGAAATTACGTAAGAGTTCTAAACGAATACAAGAATTGTTAGCAATTAAAGAACTGGTAAACAAACAAAATCAAGTCATCAAAATCAAAAAAGTTGTTACCATGACAGTAGAAGTGGTTGGGTAATTCTCTTTTGTATGCACAGCTCCGGGTTTTCTATGTAAGTGGCCAGAGCCTCAGCGATATAAAGAAGACGAAACCGTATTGCCTTTGATAGGTTATTCTTGACTATGTCGATTACTTTGAAGGAGGCGTTTGTTGAAATGGAATGATCAGTGTTAACCAGGTGTTCAATTATCACACCCCTTATTGCACCACTATTGCCGTTTCGCAGTCATGCTGGATAGTGTTCTTGAATCCTCTTGGACAGGGTGTGCGTCGAACGACCGATGTACCTGGCTCCACAGCAGCAGGTGAACTGATATATGCACATAGAAGTGGTTAGATGCGGGATCTTGTCCTCGAGGCTTCTGCAGATCAGTGGGCAACTGGAGAATACTATTCTTAGCGTTGCTGCAAAGACTGTTCTTCTCAAAAATGATGTGATCCTTCTCTGGAGAATATCGCTTGCTAAATCCCCCCCCACCCTTGAAATCCAAGTTCATGTAGAGTTTCCAACTGTAGACTATAATCTCATGTTAATTGGATCGAGTTATTCTGACGACGAATAAAAATTTTCGTTTTATGATTCAACCTTATCTGTGTTAGTTATTTCACCTTTTTTAAGGTATTCAGTAGAGAATTTTTCCGTATATTCATCCTACAAAGATCATCGGAAAACATTATTATTCACTTCCTAAAAAAAGTTCTAGTTCTTGCTGACCACTGTTTTCTCTCTCCACTATCATTGTTGCTAAATTATTCTGCATATACGTTTCGATTAACATTCACAAATAATCTAATTTTAATGAATGCATAATAGTGGGTGATAAGCGATGTTAAGAGTTGTGAATATCTCACAGAAGATAGGCATAGAGTTCTTTGTCGTCATCAGAATTACATCACATATTATTCAGAAATAACTGTGTTTAGCGACGTAATATGAATAAAAAAATATCTGAGTGCAAGTTATGAGTGGAAAGTTCATGTCATAATTTAACAATGCGATGCAAAAAGAGTAGGCATACTTTCTTAATAGTATTGGGGATCAAAATCATCTGATACATGAATTTATGTACGTATATATGACGCAGAGTAAAGGAATACTAGATAAACATTTTTTTAATATTACTCACTATTATATATGTTGATATTCTTTTCTTGTGGGAAACTTATATTTATATATGATGAGATGCATACGGAGTTTAGTTTCTGGATATTTTATAAATTAATTACTAGTATTAATTATAAATTAAAAAATTAAATTTCTTTCTAGTTCGGGAATCATCGGCAGTACGTAACCATTGTGGTTCGGACCCAGGACTTTCCAGTTACGAAAATTAATCTGTTACTCGCTGGTGACTTGCTACAGGTCGGAGTTTCCTGGAGTTCTAGTGAGAATTCGTGAACAATGAGATCCATCCAGTCGAGCGTGAGGGTGGATTTCCCACCGATGACATTGGTTGGTGGTCACACTAAAATCACGAATTCGTAGAAGTTAGAGTTCATGGGTTGGCCAGTGAATCGGGTCCCAGTAGTTGAATTGTATGCGAGCTAGCTTTCCTTGTAACCGGAAGGTCCTGGGTTCGAATTGTGGTGGTGGGTGAGTACTGACGATGATTCCCAAACTGGGATGAAACATCTGCCTGGCAGTACTCCCTGTTGGTTTTTGATGGTTCTCTAACTGATATCAATTCGAATAAAGCAAGAACAACAGTGGTTTGTGCAGAACAATATGGTACCATCATTTATTTCGTTGGCCTCTCATCAGCTGATTACAGCCTAAATAAATTATGAGGTTTAAGTAGTGAAAAATTTTAACATACTTGCAAATCTTACATGTTGTCAGTTGACAAAAAGTTCCACAATTAGTAACCAGTGCTCAGAAAATTGCGTTTATATAGTTTTTACACAGGCAGTTCAAGTTTAAACAAAATAAGTGTATGCATATAATGGTAAAGGAGTTACATAATAAAGGCGAGATGTGCGTTAGATGCATAGTGACTAATAAGTTAGGTAACAATGTACTGAGTTGAACTCAAACCATAGAAACAAGTGACAAGCAAAATTACAGATTATAAAAGAAAGATGAGGTTAAAGACAAAGATTACGTAATATGATATCACTGATGATGATGATGATGATATCAATTCGTAATTAAACTCAAAAAATAAACACAGAATTCTCAATGTAATTTCTTGCAAATACATACACCCCGTATAGAATATTCAAGTAAATATTCGTCGACAGTATATCGTATGATGAGATGCAGTTCACTACAGAAGTATTTCTTCATTATCTTCTTGAAGTGCATAGCGATGAATAGGTTGGAAGCCAATTAAAAATTTGCTTGAATTCATGTTGCAAACCAAATTGTATAATTGGAAGATTGATACAACAAGAAATGCTGTGATTGGTTGTTCTACATCACCTAACAGCTTTATCCCCATCTAGTGGTACTGGCTTGTAAAATGAATTTCAGGCTACGACTTCCCTGGTTTTCAGTGTTTTCTCGAAGAATATTCTTGTAAATAACACTTATTTATTTATCTATTTGGCTAATTTGTTAAATGAATATAAGCATAAGAATGACTACTGTGTCACAATATGTATTAATAGTTATGAATATATTAGTACCTGTTTCTCTCTTCTTCTTCTTTTTTTGTCCTCGATGTTTTCAGTGCCGTTTATCTTGTTAGACATAAAATTACTCGACAGAGATTTAGCCTAAAGAAAATTCGTAAACAACATCTACAACTGCGTAATCAAGTGGAACAAGTTTTTGCTGAACGGGATATTATGAGTTTTGCAGACAATCCGTTCGTTGTTAGCTTATGTTGTACTTTTGAAACAAAAAAATGTTTATGCATGGTTATGGAGTATGTTGAAGGTGGTGATGTAGCCACTTTGTTAAAGCATATCGGAGGACCGTTACCATTAGATTTGGCTAGAATGTATTTTGCAGAGACAGTACTAGCCTTAGAATATTTGCATAATTATGGAATAGTTCATCGTGATTTGAAACCAGATAAGTAAGTTGTTTTTGAATTAATATTATTATTTTTTTTTTGATAGTGAGAAAATATTTTTGAAAAATTTTAATGTACGTGATTAAACACATAACAATATCAGTGTGATAATTCTTAAGTCTTGTGACTTATTTTATTTTTTTTTTCTCAAACTTCTACTGGTCTCCTTTCCAACTTATGTAGTACTTCATGCTTGTTTTTCAAGTGTATTTGCTAGATAAAAAGCAACTACTCACATGGTTTTGACTACCGAGGTTTGATATGGTGGATGAAATTGGGTGGAGCATCTTAAGTGAATAGTTGTACCTATTTCCACTGTCATATACCTTTTTGTATTTTAACACATTTTTTGTGCGTTGAAGTTTCTCTAGCAGTTTGATAGCTTTTTTGGTGTCTAGGATTGCTAGCCCCACGTCTAATCCTCCCTCTTTAACTGGGCTTGGGACCAGCTAGAAAATTAGCAAGCTAGTTAACTAGGCGGGGTTCGGTTTTCAACACAAATATGAAGTCGATCCTTCTATACGGGTCAGAAACCTGGCGTGTCACAAAAAGTATTTTTAACAGGTTTCAGACTTACATCATCAACAGATGCCTTCGCTCCATACTGAAGATCGAATGGCCAGAAAGAATAAGTAACAAGAAACTTTGGCAACAAACCAACCAAGAGCCGATCGATGAACAAATATGTAGAAGAAAATGGAAATGGATCGGGCATACATTGAGGAGACAGTCGAACGATATCGCACGCCAGACCATGGCTCAAGTGGAATCCAAATGGGAAGCAACGAGTGGATCGGTGGCTCTGCAGTAACATGCAGGAGATCGTGTGGCGAGGAGATGGGAAACTACGAGCAATCGTGGACCCAGTTGATGAGTGCGGCAGAAAACAGAACAAAGTGGAGATGTGTTGCTGAAGCCCTATGTTCCACTCAGAACTCAAAGGAATAAAAATAATACCTTTTTGTACTCCTTTGCTTATCTCCGTGTGGGCCTGTATTTAACAGAGAAAAGTTAATTACGAGTTAAATTTTTGTCCACATACTCATGTAGAATAGAGTGCAGTTTTAGTGTCAACAGTATTTTCGCCTGATTGTAACCGACTGGTTTCAATATAGAATTTTGCACAGAAGTGCAGCAGTTCGAGTTGCCACACTCCATGTAGCACATAAACCTAGACAAAACAGAGAAGAAAATGAGATCTGAAAAAAGAAACAATAATAAGCAAAAATGTGAGGGAGAAAGACTAGTAACATGTCTTCCACTTTCAGTGGCCATGTGTCACAGCCATAAAGGAGTACGGGACGGACTGCTGAGCAGTGCATATGTCCTTTGATTGATGATAGCTAGCCGGATATCATGTGTACACCAGAGATGATACAGGTTTGCAAATGCCACATGAACCTTGTTTATCCGTGCTGAGAATTCATCAACGACCAGCCGGTTGGGTCTGATGCAACTTCTCAAATAAGCGAAGTAGTCAACACACTCTACGACTTCACTCCGTATCTTTGAGTTAGGAGTCAATGTAGTGTTGTTCTGTAGTGTCATCTTCCAGTTTCATATACGTGTTCAATTTGTTTCCAACTCTTCATACTAAGATAATTATCAGCCCTCTTCTTATACTTAATAAATTATGAACTTGGATAATTAGGTTCATATTCAGCAATTCAACCCTATACACACACCGCTGATTTAACTGAGTCGTGAGGAATCACACAAGTCAGGTAATGGAACTCTCCAACGAGATCATGGTGATCTCAATATCAGTAGTAGTCCGTTTCACTCGTTTGGAGCACAGCTCATCTCTGGTGTACCTCTGTTGCTGCAAATTAGTGAGACAAATGAAGTCAAATCATTCAGTTATTTAGTGCTTATCACCTTAAATATTTTGCTTACTTCCATCATACCGTTTAAAATATCATGATGCGAGATATGTATATATATATATATATATATATATATATATAATATATCATGAACTGGTTTTGCAAAAGAAACTTATTTCAACTATTTGACTAGTTATGTATTAAAATATTTTAGTCACAATGATAAATCAGACTCTTGATCATCTAACACACGTATAAATCTGTCTTCAGTAATTTCTAAGCTATAGACAATAATCGATAATTGGTGTGTTTCTCATTTAACAACGTCTATGCAATGAATTATATTAGGTTGACAGTTTTATTACTGAAAATATTAAACTCTTATCCTTTGTGTGTTGATGTATAGCATTATATTATTTTTATCTTATCGCGTAAGTCAACATACAATCGTGTAAATAAGCTTTTATTATATTATCATCGTCATCAAATAAGCTATCATCCCCTGAATATAGCAACAACAAGAAATAGTAAGAAAATAGTGTATAGAATGTCATTTATATCTTTGTTTACGTTAACAATTTCAGTGTGACTTGTATGGGCTTGTTATCTGTAGAGTACTATCTTCACAGACGGCTAAAGAATAGCACTGTGTGCGTGTGTGTGTGTCTCTGTATACGTGGAGCATAAAAGTTTTAGTTAATTAATAATATTATAGAAGAAACTGAACAATATATATATCACAAGGTTTCTCTTGATAGTTCTCAATCGACTGTTGCATATTCTCCTACATTACTTAGCAGTACTTTTTCGTATACAATACTGATTTGTCATCAGTTTTTGTGTAAGCTAAAGGATCTGCCTTATTCAGTGTTAATTTGCGCTTCTTTTATTTTTTTAAATCACCTCCTCTACATTATAGTTTACTGATAACGCATGAAGGTCATATCAAGTTGACTGATTTCGGTCTATCACGGATCGGTCTAATGAATTTAGCCACCAATTTATATGAGAAAAATTTAGATTTGGAAAAAGATTGTAAAATGTTTCGTGATAAACAAGTATTTGGAACACCGGAATATATTGCACCAGAAGTGATTCTTCGTCAGGGTTATGGTAACTGTACTTTTCTTTTTTGTCTGATCTTTGTTTTTTCGTCGATTTGTGCATTCTCAGATTAATTACATATTATGTATAGTAATTGTTTATTATGTTAAAGAATAACGCGAGTGTTAGCATTACAACAGAGACTGTATTTCATCAGCATTATTATGTGTATTTTCCTTGGGACAGACATTAAAAACCCTTGAAGCATTTCTTGTTTATTCACGCTTAAAATTCGTATCAGAACATCTTTTGTTATATCGGTAAAAACAATTTACTTCTGATATTCAAGTATTGGTTTGTAGGGATTTGGTTGATTGGTTACAAGATTTCATCATGAGGTGACATTGGTTAGAGAACGATTGGCAAAACAACAGAGAGTACTGGACAGTTGTTTCGTCCTAGTTTGCGACTCTTCATCAGTACACACCCACACCACGGGGGTCGAAACCAGGACCTTCTGGTTACAAGGCCAGCGAGCTCGTAAACTATTAAGCCACTAGGACCCAATCCAATGACCCATGATTTCTAACTTCTGCCAATTCATGATACAGCGCAACCGCTAGCCAATGTCTTCGGCGAGTATTTGTCTTTACACCCAACCGGCTGCACCCTACTGATTACGACTTCCCACTAGCACCCCAGGTAAATATCTACCTGAATAGGGCCAGTCGCCACTGAGCATCTCATTGATATTCAAGTATGGAATAGTAAAGCTCGTATGCTACTCCTTTCAGATGAATTTTTCACCTCAGTTTTTATCATTAATACAAAAATCAATCAAAAATGAGGATTAAAATTGCCTACAACTACGTTAATTTATCTAATCATCAGTTTACGATGTTTACGTATAGTTTGTTCAACTAAATTATATTCTCTGCCCAAAAAATGTTATCCACAGTCTGTCAGCGATGTATTCGGAGAATTTCTGTCTTTTCATCACTTTTAAATTCAAGATTCAGCAGCAAAATCTTTCTGGAGGGTGAGCAACCTGAACCTATTGAACAGCTTTCTTCGGTTTCAGTCTCCTGTCCATGAATCTGGATGAGAACCTATTTCCTTTGAAGATTCGGAGATGTGCAACTCTTCGTCAACAGATTTTACAAAGCATATTTTCCGAATCCTTAAGGAAAGTTAAAATGAATGAGACTCCCCTTTCTGTATTTTCGGGGGCAGAACTTTGAAAATTGATAAACTTTTCGCCCCTATGTAGGCTTTTTGTGAATAGATCTCAGTGAGTTATCATCCATTCCAATGAAATTAGATATTGAGCCAGATTCTACTCATAAGGTGAAGTTGATGTCTTGGTGTTCATTGTTTTCGAAATTTGAATTCGTATCATAAATATGCATGGTATCGTCAATGTATCTCCTGCAGAGTTGTTGTAGCTCATTGATTGTTGTTGATAAGATAGTGTTTTCTAAGTATGTAATAAAACAGTGGGCCAAGATAGCTCCTTCCTATTCCATCTATGTGTCTATAGATTGCTTTGTTGGATCTGTAGTATACGTTCAAAGTATATCGGAGTAAGAGCTCTTTCAGTCTGTGGATAGGTATGCAAACGGACGTTTGTTATTAGTCCAACATCATTGACGAGCGGAGCGGAGTCCCTTTTTTACTTAACTAATTTACATTTTCAGTTAAATCAACAAAGTCAAATGTATTCCAGAGATTGTGTCTTTATAGCTTCTTTTTTACTGGTTCAAGAATTCTTACCAACTACTTCGCGACTAAGTAATACCGAGAATTCATCATACTTAATATTGGACGGAGTAGAACATCTATTTCCGTATGTAGTAATCTGCTTGTTGCGAACTCATAGATTGATAAAATGCACTGCTCTCACTTTTCCGAAATTTATTTCAACCGTGATTTTTCGAGTGTTAATTAGTATGAGCATCACAAGTACTGATACAAATTCGTTCATTTAACATTAATTACGTACAACAAAAATACGTTTATACTAGACTGTGAAGCATATGAAAGTTCCCGAATTCGGTATTCAAGGTATTTATTATTCAGCAAAATAAGTTTTCCGTCTTGTCATCTAACATAACTGTCTATTTCACACTGATTTGATGAAACGGTGTTATTATCTTAAGATTAAAAAGCATACGTGTTATCTCTGAAAACGTATTTACAAGAAGGCTACTGGGTTAGGTGACAACGTTTTTTTATGCCTATATTGATGGCAGTGTTCTTCCTTTCAACTTACATTTGCCGGCTAGTTTCGAATATTTTGGGAATGTCTCAGTGTATTAGACTACACCTGAAGGAAATTACCAAGATATTGGGATTTCACTGAGGCTTTTATTTCGTTACCATAGTTTTATCTATACTTGTTTATTTTATCTCCTAGGTAAGCCTGTTGACTGGTGGTCTATGGGTATATGTTATACGAGTTCCTCGTCGGATGTGTACCGTTTTGCGGTAGTACTATAGAGGAACTTTTCGATAATATTGTAACAGGTATGCTACTTTCTTTAAAATATTACACATTGTGTTTGCTTGTGTAATTGCATTTTTTTCTCTTGCAAAATAGTCTAAATTCCAGGCCATTGAGTGAACTAAAATGTCACAAATGCATACCTTCTCCTTTGTGCTTTCTTCTACCCTTTTTTCTACCATTATTATTATTATTGCCCACGAACTATGCAAAACTAACCACATGCTTTCATAATCAATAGTGGTTTTATTTAAGCACTCTTATTTTTCGGACACTTACAGTTGGCTGGCAGTCAACTAAAGAAAGAGAGAGAGAGAAAAACGCAATCAATATCTGATTTTTCATTCATGTTTTTCTTTCTGCAAATTTCCTACTTCATGTAGCCTGATTTTACTTATGTGTTTTCTCTAACCACGCTTATAGTTTCCATGTGCACACGTGTATTGCTTATCCTGTTATTTCAATATCCTATTAAGTTTTTATGTTTCCTGACCTGTAAACTTGTTGGTATTCATTTGTACTGAAACAAATTTAGGTTAAAAAAAATGCAATTACCAAGTTACTTACTTATCATAGTGCTTATAATATTTTTTTTACTAAAAATATGTGTTGAAACCTGTTTCTGTGTGATATTTCTCTTTTTTTCCATCTGAATGTGCATGAACATCAGACAGCATCACTAATTGAACTGAAAGTAAAGCCTATTGAGCGGGTGTACACTGTAAAGGAGGAAAGCTTTTAAGTGCGATTTCTTAGGTGATTATTTTAGATGTATTTAATTGCATAGTTGACGAAACTTATATCCATCTGACGTAACTAATTTAAAATTTGATTTTTGTTCATTGCTATAGGAAGTATGGCTGTTTATTCAAACAAATGGACTTAGTTTAAGGCGTGTGTTGGTTGTGTATATACGTGACCTCAAGAAATCATTGGGCTGTGTGGCTTCACATTGAACTAATCCTTTTTTTCTCTGTCAGGTACTGGAAACAGATAACAGAATTCACTGTCAGTTTGTTTGGCTGAGAGTTCTACCCATAATAATACTCTGACATTTGTCTCACACTGAGGCTTTTAAACAGAATACTCCAGAAAGTCATGTGACCTACTGAGATACTTCTATCCGGCATTTATTGTTATTTGATTATTATTCACTTTTTATCGATAAGTCCGTAACACTTATCACATCAGTGTGCCTCGGTAGTATTTCACGTCTATATCATGAGAGTGGTTGTGCCGAAAACAATGGTAGGTCGTCGGATCAAACTGTCTGTGTCCTGTTTTCAAATCACTTTTTTATTGCATCAAATATACGTATTCATGGGAAGTCTGCAGCTTTCAGTTGAGACCTGTAATGTATTCATTGAAAATTGTTTGTCTGAATCATTCAGCTTAATTATTATCCGAAGATAAAAATTTGCTTTCCATATTGTGGAAAACACTTGTAATCCGGCAATACATTCAAGTTGTGTACTCTATCTCTATCCCCATTGTACATAACTTCGTCATTGTGTATCTTGTTTCTTCTGAAGACATTTCCCAGTGATATTCATTAACGTTGTGTCTAAAAAGTCATACTTATTATATTATTATTATTGCTCCCTTGGGTTTCTAGTGGAACATAGGGCTTCAACTGCAAGTCTCCACTGCTTCTGTCTTTTGCTGTACTTTTCACCTGTATCCATGTTAGTCCATACTCTTTCAACTCTTCACACGATCTCCTCCATGTCACTCACCCTTGAACGTCCCACTCGCCACTTCCCCTTCGGGTTCCACTCGAGGGCCTGACGCACGATGTCATGCTTAGTTTAACTTATTAGTTAAAAAATATACGGACCCTAGTTCTGGAAATAAAATATCTGAAATCATAAGAGATGCTATTACATTGCACGCTTTAATTATTTAGATTATTTTTATTAACTTCTTTCTGATACATTTTCAGCTCCAATCGATTGGCCTGAAGAGGAAGAGTGGAAGGTGACTCCATCAGCTGTGGATATAATAACGAAACTTCTTGAACGAGATCCTTTACTTCGTCTTGGAACTATTGGAGGCTCTTCTGAGGTTAAAGAGACTCCATTTTTCTCTGGACCTAGTGCAGTAGACTGGAATAATTTGTTAAGACAAAAAGCTGCTTTTGTACCCCAACTTGAGCATGATGAAGATACTTCTTATTTTGATCCACGCACCGATCGTTATCAACATGATGTGGAAAATGATGAAGACATATATATTCCTATGGATTATTCATCACATAGTAACCGATCTTCTCCTGCTCCTCAAATGTCAGTTACTCGGAATTTCAGTTTTAATTCTCCTACTGATCAAAGTTTAACCAGTGTTATCCGGCGACCTGCAGCTTCCCGTCTTGGACGTGCTAAACAACAGGCAATTGAACATAAACGTAGTCATAGTTTAGGTGACAACAATACGCTATATCTTCAACCATTTAAATCACGTTCTAAAAGTCGAAGTATTCGTGACTCTCCCATAAACACTCCACAATCATTTACTCATTCAGAACTCAGTAGTGCTAGTTCTCAGCGTTCTTTATTCCATCAAAAATATGAACCTGAAAAAGTTGAACACGACCCAGTAACATCCACTTTAACTGCAGAGTCTGTAGCTGGTCGTAATGCATTGCATATGTTACAAAATTTATCACTAACCTCTAGTACTACAGAAAATTCATCATCTCCAAAGTTGGAAAGTGGTAATGCCAATCATCAGCAAACTGTTTTGTCTGGAGTAAAGCTGGAAAAGCTGAATATCGATGTCACAAAGCGTGGATTTTCTGATGATGACGTCGATGACACTCAAAATGTTGGCGATGAATCACGTACATTTCACTACTTCTCTTCGTACTCCCCTCGTTTCTCAGTTGTGTTAGAACAAGCCAGACTGAATGAACTATTACAAAACAATTTGAATATGACCTTAAACGATTCAGATCATCCGAATAATGAAAAGAGTCCACTTCATGCTTCACCATCTCGTTTCCATCTTGTATCACATAATGACTCAAATATCAAGCATTCAAGTCCCGAAACTTCTAAGGATGTATGTCTGCCACCTACAGATGAACAGTTGTCGAATTCGAATAAGAGAGACAACCTGTCTTCTGAAGAACAGAAGAGTAGCAGCAAAAATATCTCTCGATCATCAGATGTAAGTTTTTCCAATAAAACTCATAATATCATAACTTTTGTCTATACTTATTTGAGGACAAGAAATATTGTTTACTTTCCCTTTATATGAGATCCAATTAGTACACAGTGTTAGGTAAGGAAGGCAAGTCGATGAATATGATTCTGAAGCTTAGGTCCGTGTTACGCATGCCGAGCCACCGCCTTCTTCGAAGAGGATTAGGTTGGAAAGGTGTTAGTGGTTGTCAAATTGAAACTTGGCATGAGTCTATAAAGTCTTTCACAGCATATTAGATCCACATAGAGGGGTATAGACTGCTTGGTTGAAACCCCTTGGATGCCAAGATCCAGTGGCATAGATATACTCACCCTTTGTAATCTCCGAGATCCATTAGGTCCTCATGGTTCTCCATGTATTTTTTCTTTTTCTGTACATTTCTGCCCATATTAGTTATTGTGAATTTTTTCGCTACCTTTGTGTCCTATGTGGAGTATAGCAACTTGAGCTGGTGCACCTCTGTGCTGAATTATACGCTGCACCTCAGCCAATCAGTTATACGCAGACCACTTGTATGAGACATATGTTCCGATAGATCTTTTGTAGTGTCACAATAGGTCGTATTCACTTAGGCATTTCGATTATTGGCACCGTCTCTTTTTTGAATTTAAGTGAATAAAGCTATCAGTTTTAGAGAATCACTATTCTCTTGTGTTTTACTTCTTTTATTATCGTTATTACTGTTTGGGAAAATATATTTCTAATTGTCTGCTTTTTGCTTCCTCCTTAGGTTCAACCATGTGGTACTCAAGATGGCTCAGTATATTTGAATAATGATCATTCACCATCTAATGTCGTTGGCTCTAACCCTGCTATTTCCACTATCACTCATCCTGCAACTGAAACCAAAGTTTTTGTTCATCCCAGTCTCAAGCAGTCAAATGAATGTCCCATTACTTCTGATGTTGATGAAAATTCTAAATTATCAGAATCAGATTCTAACTCTAGTTTAGAACTATCACCACATGATTCACTCATACACGTCACTGACAAGCCTTCGAATGAAAATGAGTCAAACGCAACAATGTGCATGGATACTGTCAATAATTCGCCTGAACTTGTTCAAGATCCCTTGATAAAACCACTAATTCCACCTGTTCGCGAACATATGACTGGAAATACGTCCCTTTATTCTGCTAAATCGATTTCCAATTCATCATCTTCAACATCATCGCTTTCACTACCTACTGTTACTCCTCATATAATGCCTCATACAGAGTCGCTTTACTCTACTCTAACTGATTATGATTCTACTTTACATAAAAGTCCATGGTTTTTGAATGTTGATTTAAAACCAGAAAATGATCATCTAAGTACCCATCAAATATTAAGATCAATGACACGTGCAGATTGTCAGCATGGCACTCAAAATGCATCTATGTCTTTTAAGAACACGTCACCTGTTCCATTTCAAGGTTTTGTACCCCATACATCTCATTTGAATGCGTGTTTTCCCTATTCTCTGTCGTCAGCTGAGCAACAACAACAACCTCAGATGTTATTAGTCGGTGACAATTCATCGCGGAATACATACCTACCACATCCTCCTGTGTGTTCCAAAACTCCCCTAACACTACCACTTTTGTCTTATTCACCAGGAATTCCGCGTCAGACCATAGTAATTCACAAAGGCAAACAAGGCTATGGTTTTGTTTTCCGAGCTATCCGAGTATTTTTTGGTCGCTCTGATGCATATACACTGCATCATCTTGTACTTGGAGTTGTGCCTCACGGTCCAGCAGCCAAAGCTGGTCTCAAAGAAGCTGATCTGATTTTGAGCATTAATGATGTATCAACTATTGGAATGTACCATACAGATGTTGTCAAGTTAATTTTACAGGTGATATACCCGCTTATATTTATTTTATTGTATCTTAATTAAAAACCCGTATTTTATGCACTCAGTGGTGAGTAAATTAAGATCGCACTATACACATATTCTTGTCATCAAAACTAGGACGTCTATAAATGGAGAAAAGCTTAATTTTGTTGAATTCAACATCTGTATATTGCTTAATCTTTTGAATTCGATTCACTGAACGTTTCCACTTTACTAATTAATTCATGCGCCGTTGGATTGGGTCTCAGTAGCTTAATGGTCTACGAGGTCGCCTTGTAACCAGGTCTTGGGCTCGAACCTTCGTGGTGTAGATGCGTACTGATGAAGAGTCCCGAACTAGAACGAAACAGCTGTCTGGCAGTACTCCTTGTTGGTTTTCCAATGGTTCTCTCACTGACGTCAGCTCATGATGAAATCCTTCAACCAATCAAACAGAATTCCCTACAAAACCAACACTTGATAATTAATTTAAGACATCCACTATTTTTGCCTACAGTGTTCTTTTGTACGGAATTAATTTACCTCGGTGTATCTTTTTTATTAGTTGAAAGTGTCTAGGGAATCACTAAAAATGTCAGTGCAGTCAACAGTTACCTTGTGAAATAAAACTCAGCTGAAGGGAGTCAAGTTATGCAGTAAATACTTTATATATATTATTATATTCAGCTTCGGAGTTGAAACTCAGTGGCCTATCTCTTTTTTCTTCTTAACTGTCGGTAAATTTCGGTTATTTTTCATTTCAATTTTCATACCTGGTCATGTTGGCATTTGTTGTAAAAGCAGAGTGCTTTCTTACAATCGATATAATAAAACCGATTTTCACTAGTGATCCTTTGATCTTTGAATATCTTTCTTGATTTGTTTTCCGACTCATTAGCGGTATGAAAATGGCTATACTTACAATTACTTTTCTTGGCTTATCTGTCTGTAATCTCCTCTTGTTTTTTCCACTTGAATTTTAAGGTAACGATTGTAATTTTTGATAAATGAAAATAGTACTTGACCAGCTGGTTGCTTAAATATGGTGTAAGAAACGGCATTATGTATGCTGTAGCCTTTTTACCTCTATACTTCTGATTAATGATGACTGAGCTAAGAGAAATTCACTTCCATGATCAGTTTATCGTGAAGATGATATATATATATATATCTGAAGTATAAAGTATATCTCTGCAGAAATGCAGAAATGTGGCTTCAGTTAAACTCACACACATCGTTAAGACTGATGGATAATGCGCATTCCTGGTACAGTGTAATTGAGGATAAAGTCTAAACTTGGGAACATTGACTGGTATCAGGGTAACCGAGAGTGCCATGTGGCACTATTAAAACAATGAAGAGTATAGTGTATATATGTGATTGGAAGTAAATTTAAACAATACACTGAATGGATGTTGTCTTCCATGCCAGCTGTCATTCAACTGGTCAATTGTTAAGTTTTTAGTCCCCCAATTAGTTGATTTCTAGTTAGTATAACTTAAAATAAATTGAGTTATGCAGTAAACAGTCTATTGTCCCGTTTGAATGTAAAGACTGAATTGGTCATGTCGTTTGCAAATAATGCTTTTTGATTACAAAAGTATATCTATCCATTATATGTCATTTCATCTATATCTAATCTCGTTGACTTGGAATATGCGGATAATATAGTCCTTCTGAGTGAAGACACTGAAAAAATACAAAGTCTTCTGAACAACCACCGAGGCTGCAATCTACGAATGTTTGGCATGCGATTCGCTCCCGCTAAATGTAAGATGATGCTACAGGACTGGACTACACTGACATGTAGCCTAGAAATAGGAAGTGAAGTGCTAGAATACGTTTACCGTTCCACTTATGTAGGAAGTTGCATCAACCAGCGCAAACGGTTTGGTCGCTGACGAAACCTCAGCACGGATGCACAAGGCTCGTTTGTCATTTGCCGACTTACGCCATCTGCCTTAAATAAACGTGATATCCAACTGGCGGGTGTACTGCCCATCAGACATGAAAATGCTAACTGCCCTTGATCTCATAGGTGTTAAGGGGTAGGTGTAATACGGTGAGGAATATTGAAGTGAGGCATCTGTCGAGTACTAGGTAATGAGGAGAAATCAATCGACGAATTTGTGAGGTTACACCGATTGAGATGGTCAGGACATGTGTTAGGTATGCATGCCTAGCCGTCACCCTCCTCAACAATGGGCAATGTTAGGTTGTAACAATAGAAGACAAGGGCCAGGTAACAGATCGTTTATATATTTTCATGTACATTATTATAGCTTATTCAAGCAAACAAACACACTTCTGATTGGTGGTTTTTCACAGAAAGTTGACCTTGCATCTCTTTGCGACTGTTTCTTGAATGTCAGGTCATATCTATATGTTAACTGTATCTGCCTACGCAAAGTCTGCTGTGATTGGTTGTTGAATCAGTCTTATTCATATTTTCTCACGACCAATATTTGCCACATACCCATTGACGTAAAATACTGTCTACCATTTTTGGCTAGCCTGCTCTCACCACAAGGTAACACAGGATGGATCAGGTTGGAAAAGATCTAGTAGTGGTCAAAACAAAACACGGCTTCGTCAGTCAAGGAAATCCACAACAGTTAGTTTAAGCTAGCGACGTAGGATGGTGTAGACTTGCTGGTTGGTGTCCTCGGAACGGTAAACACCAGTGAAGGCTGGAGACAGTTCGTGATGTGGCTCAAAATCGTTCTCAATGCATAGTGCAGATGCATCCATTCCACGTGACTCATAGTACCCAATGAGACTATATTGTTCTTCTTTATGTTGTCTCATACCCCTGTTTACTGTCTCTATTATACATTTCTTCTAGTTTCTTGTCTTGCTTTGTGTGCTACATGGAGTATGGTGACTCAGACTGCTGCACATCGATGCATAGTTCTATGTTGAAACCATTTAGTCAGTGATATATATCTGTATTCACTTTTTCACTACTGTCATATTTCACATGTTTGTTTTTATAATGGTAATGATAAACAATATGTCATCCAATAATGAAAAAAATAATGCTATTTTGCTTTTTACTTCAACAAAAACTAAATATCTAGAGCGGTACTACTTTACGCCTGCATGCAACTCCAATTAGTCAAACATTCATTCGTTCTGATGGCCCATATCGTTCTTCTGGCCGTCTCGTACCTCGTGCTTCTCCAACAGATCAAGTGTTAAACAACAATGGTAATAATACTCCTTGTACTGCTAAATATTCAAGTCCTTACGCCGATAAACAAATATCTACACCTTATGCGCCGTGTAGCACCTTCAAAAATAGTCACTCTAATTCTCCTGAAGTACACAATGATAATACATCAACACCTTTTGATGTGAAATCGTATGCTTCAGTCTGCGCATCGAATAATCCAAAGCAAAATGATGAAGCTGCTAGACGCATAACTCGACGTCTGACAGTTAGAGAAGCTCGACAACGTCATTTAAATACTGGAAATTTAGAACCAAAAGTTCATTGTCTTCAACCGGATACCAATTTAAATTCATGCTTCAATCAATCGGATACTGTACCCATCAACATACCAACAGACAGATCAAAAAGTGGTTATTCCCAGTCAGGTACATCTTCTAAGACATCGACACAAACATATGCTTCCATTGCTGCCCAACGATTCGGTATCACTCTTGGTCCAACTTGTACAAACCAAGTGAGCTGTAATCAAGCTGCACAAAATAACAATTCATTTCTTCCACCCCACCGAAGGTGAGTGAGATCGGTATTTAGCTGGAGTTTTCTTTATTTTTAATCTTTCATGTATCTTTTCCAATAAACGCATACTGGTTATCATTTTTAATGCGATTGGTGGTATGTTAGTAGGAGTGATGAAACTTTCAGATCTTCAAGGATTAAGCCTCTCTCTTGAATTCCTATTGTTTTGTTCTATGGCTTCAATAGCATACATGATATAGTATTACTATTTTTAGGGTTAATAATGCCTCACTGTCAAATATCACCATAGAGTCAGTCGTTCGTCAACAACACCTGTTATTCATCTCAAATGTCAAAAATATAACTACACCTAGAGGTTGTTAGTACAAAAATTTTGGCTGTATTTTCAGTTTATAATATATATGATCTCTAAAAGTGATAATTCCAAAGCGAAATTCAGTAGTTAAACGAGTGTTTTTAATCCCTTAGTTATTAAATAAAGGAGCTTGGACGCTAAATATTTCACATTTTTCTAATAGTTTCAACTGCTAGAATTGTTTTGTTCTCTTTTTGTAGTTAACTAATTTTTTTCGTATATTATCATCTCTAAAATCCGTAATCTAGAGTTAATAGTGCTGTACTACACCTTCTATCTTATATCACATCTCTGTTAGTAAAATAAAAATGATGAAAACTGTTTTATCAGACCTTTCCCATCGAATTAGTTTATAAAATATAGACTGTATGTAAATCTTTTCAGCAATTTTTTTTCCATATGAACTGCTAGAGGATGCACGTTTGAATAGCTCCCCTTTCCATCTTGCTGGACTATTAGCAGTAATAACACTAATAATTGGATTTGATTATTTTTTAAATTTAGTTTTTGTGTTTAAAACATCAACATATTGGATTTACAATGTTTTTCATTTCAGATCTCTAGAAAAACCTCTTATACGTCAGTTGAGTGAAAGACAGCATCGAGCTATGTTCCCTACAACTGATGATACATCATCTTCATCAAACAATCCAACACTTTATACTCAGCGAAGTGTAATCCCCTACAGTTCACCCCATCAAAGTCCTAGATCCGACCATCAGCAACAAAACAACGCTTTTACGTATCATAGACCATCATTGACTGTCACTTCAAGTTCATCTGGTTCTTCAGTCTGTTCTTCCGGTTGGTATTCAGGTGGTGAATTGTCTCCTCACAGTTCTCCTGGTTCTGGAAGTCCTTCTGTTTCTGGTGTTTCTCGACCTTGTGATTCTACCCATCCGCCTAGTAATCCATTTCAGCAGCCACGTTTTGGTAGTTTACGTGCCCCATCTCATTCAGCTGCCCAATTTGTCAGTTCTCATGGAGATAATTCTCCATTTAAGCTAACTTTCACTTGTCAACCAATGCCGAAATCCGCATTTATTGCACAGAATCGCAACACACCTCAGTGTAGACACAGTGATCCTCTACGGCCTGTTGCAGTAAGTTAATACTGAATTTAATTTATATGCTTTATATATTTTAATTCAATCAGAAGTGGTGATACTGATCGCCGCGTAAATGTTATGTGGTCCCCATATTTTCTAAGATCTCAGTAGCGGTTAAAAAAAAAGACCGATCCTTAATACTTTGTTTACTTATTGTTATTTCATGAATACCCATTCAATTCATATATTTATAGTGCCGTAGTTGGAACTCTCTGATTTTGCCACTCGATTTTAAAGTAATATCTTAACAATTCGAAACCAAGATCCACTTATTTATTATAGCCTAGGAAACTATGAGTTGAAAACTCTTTTGTTCATTAAGTGCATCTCGCGTAACCTAATATATAGTTCTAATTTTTAATATTTATCCTCCTTTTTGTCCAGTTAGTTCATTTATTTGGTTTATAGTAATATAATGATTGATTTTTCTGCTTTTAAGACATCAAGGAGTAATCGATCTCTTTGTTCTGTCGTGCCCAATGCTCAAAATCCTAACACATTTGCTGTATCAGTTCAAGCCTCCATTACAAATCCATCTCAAAATCCTACTACCCAAAACGTTGATCTCGACAGGTTCTCAGTTCAAGCTAACGCTCTAGTATCATCAGGTCAGGTTCGGCTACGTAGACACAGCCATCGATTTGCAGTCCAGCATGTTGCTTCACCAAGTAGTCCAGCGGAGAGTGGAGATGAAAAATCTAAGAATCACACATGAAATACTAAAGCTTTTCTTTTCTGTTTTTCATTTGCCAATTTCTACTCACCTTATTTTTGATTTCTCGAACTCTGAAGCTATTTCATATCAGATAAATTTGAACACTGTGATGATTTTCCTTTTCTTAAAGCTGAATTCTGTCAAAATCAAGCTGATGGCAAATCTGTTAACAATTATCAAGCTTTTTAAATTTCCCGGTTATGTATTTCATGGGTTTTATTTATTTGTGCATCCTGTCTACACCAATTCACATGAGATGCATCTACGTCTGTGTTCTCATACTTACTCTTATTTTATATTTGCTTGTCTTATATATACCTACGTACATATCTTTCAAAATGTATATTTCCTGTTCTTTCTGCTCCCAAATTGTGTTTTAACGTATATCTGCTAAAAGTAGTGTCTTTTGGTGTGTGTGTGATGACGACTTCATTGTGCTACACATTCCTTGTAACAAATTTTTGTGATTGTCTGGATTATTGATATTGCAGTCAAACAACCTGTGGTGTGTGATAGTCTTCTAGCATAGCTTTTAATTTCTATTCCCGTGTTATTTTGTTTATTTCAACCGGGGAGCATACACTGTATTTGTCGTTGTATTTTGTGGATTATATCTAAACACAACTGGTCTTCCTTGTTTATGCACTTACATAGTCATTTTTTTGCCTTTATATGATATAAACTGACTGATTTATAGTTGTTTCTTTTGTCTTGTAAATCTTTTTGCCATCATAATTTGTGTTTTCCCTGTATTGTGTTCATCGAATCCATCACAGTCAGTGTCCTGCATTATTGAGAAGTGATTCTCACCCTTTTTAAAAAAAATATAAATAATAAAAAGGGCTTTTTCTCTGCACGTAAACACTAGTTTAAAATGATATGTACAGTTCTTTCAATTTCTTTAACCCTGCTATTCTTGACGTATCTATGCTAACAACATTTTTATTTTCTGACTATTGTCTTCTTTACCATTGTTACCCATATTTTTACTATTATTAGTATTATTCATCATAAAATTAATACTAGTTTGCTTTTTCTGTCTGATCAGTTCGTGAAATGTTGTAAATTTGTTTTCGTTATTTCATCAAATTAATCTGTCAAAGAATAAATAACAGGTGTTTATTCCCTTTCAAGCTTATATATATATATTGCCTATCTTCTCTGATCCTTTGCTTTGGTCGCATTAAAAAAGCTTCCATATTTTAAATTCTTTTCTCTGTTACTTATACCATTGCCTTGTATGTGTTTGTGTGATCAAATGAAGAAGATTTATTTCATCTGAAACTGACTTTCTTTTTTCTTTTTATAATTATTTGTTCATGGTATTAGAATTTCAGGTAGAAAGAAGTTTTTATAGTTCCCACGCTTACATAAGTCGTGTTTTTTCCTACCTGCTAGCTATCATTAGGACTTCTCATTATCAATTACTCGCAGCCTAATGAATGACAACTTCGCATGAAGTAGTAATGCCATTATGCATTGGAAGTTTTTTGAGACATGATAAGCTTTGTTTAAAATAAGAACAAGTGTTACGGGGATGTAGATAACATTTGACGACTAAGTGCACTGTTTTTTTTTCCTCATTGTTGATGTTAGATGGTTCGAGGTAATCGTCTGGAAGCCATGGACATCTATGTTTCGTGCTAGTTGGCATTCACCAGTCAGTAAGGCGTATCTGCAAGTTTGAAGGAACTGGTGTCCGTTCTGAGATTCGAACCCGCGTCTTCATATTTAGGGAATACTAATTTCAGGAGAGATAGTTACTACAGAATGAAAGATTTATGACAAAAGGAGGTGTTTCCTTCGTTTTCTAAGATTTTTATACTGTGTCTTCATTGAATGGTAGATCAAAACCGATAACAGTTAATCTACTTGATCAAAGTTTGCACACTAACTCTACTCCAAACACCATAATCATCAGTTAATCAATTTTTTCAATATTCATAGTTTTCGTTTCACATTTAGACGGCATAGTTGGATATTGAGCTTATGCATTGAGAATAGGCAAATTGATTATCTATACAACAGTCAAGAGCGATAACTTTTTATAATAATGGTGTCATGATCTGATAATTACTTCGTTTTCTTAGGTTAGTTAGCATATTATCAAATTGGGAAGACATTGACTCAGACTCGGAGAATGGATGAAACTCAGTTACCGAAGTGATGAGAGAGAGGAAATGCTAGACTGAGCACTTCAAATGGATTTTGAATCAATCACCATCTACAAATCGTTCAGAAATACTACCACTTGCAGAACTACCAGTCAATATTAAGCGAAGTCTTTAAAGCCATGAACCGGAAAAGCGGCACAACCAGATGGAATCTCTGTAAAAACGTATCACCCAGAGAACTAAAGGGCAGGCTCCCACTATTCCTACAGAAGGTGTGATAAGAAACTTCCAAAGAACATCGATTGTAGCCTATGCAGGAACTGGCGTGGAATCATGCTGCTTTCTACTCCTTGGAAGACTGAAAGATAGCGTAGATGGTAGACTTTGCCCAAAATAAGCTGAACTCTGGAAAATAATGAAGGCACCCCACAACTAACAAGCAGCAATCATCGCTGGTAGGATAAGTCTAAGCGAATTCATCTCTTCCACTTATCAGACCTAAGCAGCGCCGCTACAGCCGCACATGTGAAGATATCAAAGCCACTCAAGATCGGACCGGGAAAGAATTACAGGCGTTTATTACTCAGTGGAGATCTACAATGCAAGGACCGAGACCCGAATTCTCAACACAACTATCAAACCAGTGTTTCAAATACACGTCTCTAAAAGCATTTCCTACATGCTACTGCAGACATTCATAGCTATGGTCGGATGGTGCAAGTAACTCCAGCAGGCAGCGGACCAACTAAGAACCCAGTGCCTAGTAAATATACACAGACAAGTGGAGATGGACTGGAGACTATTGAGATACATCACACTACACTAGGCATTGAGTCGAACCCAAACGGTAAACAGCTATTTGAGCGTGGTTCCGAAGGTGAAATGGAAAAAGTTACGTTTAAAAGAAGTGAAAGCTTTTTATCAGCTGGTTGTAAGTGATGGCAGATAACGGAGCATAGTTGATATGGGCTCATGAGGACCAGTGTTTCATTCAGAACACAAGGAATGAATAGTAATAATGACCAAATTATCACCTAATTGTTTTTCTACTGGGATGACCTCAGTTTTGTTTTCCTCTAATAATCATTTTAAGCCTATTGTATTTATTAGAAATTCGTTTTGTTTTTAGTATATCTATTTTATTCTAAAAGAAAAGCAAACAGAAATACGAATAGAAAACCTAATTTCATGATATATGTCAACGCATGTTCCCTTCATCTGTCTTTGAAGTTCTTTGCTTTCATATTAAAAGTTCAGTATATTATAACTCTGGCGAATTATTGGTAGAATGCACAGAAACTTCGAAATCTGGAGTTTTTATTCTAACCTCTGATCCTTGAACTTGGATCCCATTTTTGGGGCTACGTACACTCCTCGTTTTGATTGGTGCTTTGCTATCATCTGGACTGCTTGAATCTTGTGATGTTTGATCAATGGGAGTGGGATTTCGAGACAGACTTTTATAATTCATACTTTTACGTTGTCCTTCATATAAACTTACGGTACTTCGTCTATTAAATTTTGGACTAGAAACGCCAAGTGGTCCACGTACTGTTCTTCTTCTAGGAGATAACGAACAAGCATATGCTCTTCGACTCGGTGATGTGGATTTAACCAAGCTCATTTCACCTCTTCTACGATCTAATTCAGCATTAAGGAGTCTACCTTCTGTTTCAGCTTGCGATCGAAGCTATTAAATAAAAGAGAAGTTATAATTTATTCATGGTAGAATTTTACGAGATTTAGGATTTCGTAGTAACATGCATCAGTTCAAGCTACTACACTCTTGTACATCTAACAAGGAAGAAGCGAACAAAATTATAGTGATATTATAGAAAATAAGGCGGAGTTTTGGTCCACTGCTTTGCCTAATTGACTTTAAATCATGACTCTGAACCCAGTTTTACTGGTATAAGTAACTTGATACTATCATCATCAGTCGATGTAGCGAAATGTAAATGGAAACGGTTTTCTAGCGACACATCATTCAATATTCACAATTGACAAACCTGAATGTGAGGTTAAAAAAACCAATGAGGAGTAATTATAATGATCGGGTTGTCGATGGTGAGCACATCTGCACCAATGTAACTGGTTTTAATCTATTTCACAAAGACTCCAATACAGGCGTCATGTCTAGCTTAAACGCTACATATGATATCGCTCTGCCTAATGCAGACAATCAGCGTGGATGCACATGATCATATCTTCTACTTCTACCATCCATTCTGACAGCTGTGAACTATTATTTTATTTTTGATTACAGCTTGATTCCACACCGTATTTTTGGTACAAGTATGGAATTTTCAGCATGGATATCGGTAGCCCAAATTATGCAGGCCGACCATAGATATCAGGTGTGCATCGGCAGGGGATCGAACCTCGGACCATGTGCATGGTCGGCGAGCGTCTTAACCGCTGTGTCACCGACTAGGATATGAATAAATAACTCAAAGCATATATTCATGATAACTGTGCAAATCTCTGTGGATTTATGTGGCACAACTAACGATGGAGCTATTATAACATCCTAGTTGATGATCACTTAAGACTGAGATTTTCACCACTCAATCAAAGAAGACGGATAAGTAATGCAGTGTTGGAACAACTCAACTATGCTCCTTATGACCTGGCTAATGGTACTACCCAACAGCTCAGGTTGAAATAGCTTGACCCGGGGCTGTAACCCCTCACTCACTGATTCACTATCAAATACTGTATCCAATAAGCTAAATCTCCACAAATACAGCTATATGTATACCCAATTAGACCAAAATTAATAACTCACTCTGATTGCTTTGGTTAAGCTGAGCATAATTTCAGCTAGTCTGTATTCTTCTTTTGTTACTTCCCTTCGTTTCTCCATTAGTTCAGCGAGATGCTGAGTCTGAATTTAAAAGAAAAGAAAAGTGTTGACTCACTTTACACTACCACATACGTTAAGAAGAAATCAATCATGATATGTGACAATCATTATGACAGCTGGCATTCGATAACTGTGTAGTAGTAATAGAAAATTCCAATTTAAATTTGCAACCTTCACATAATTATTTATTTATTAGCATACCAGTGAGTTGCTCTAAGCATAAGTGTTTCTCCCAGGGATTTTAATCTATCTGGGAATGAAATTATGTTTAAACTAAACATGATTATCGGTTATAGCGGATGGGTTGGGGGTTGAATTTAATTCATAAGCTTGTAGTGCTATAATTCATATTCTTAGTATCTAGATAATACTGGGATCTCTAACATATCAAGTTTACTCTATCGCCTAGGTCGAAAACCTGTATCATATTCTTGAATAGTGTATCACAAGTCAGAGGTTTCTTGCCTACTTTAAAATAATCTTGCAGTCTGGATCTTTATTTCAGGCTTACCTCTGCAGAGTCTATGCCAATGTGTTTCAGTGTAGTAATTGATCTTCTGATTAGAGATTCAAGGTCACCTCTGTGCCCATTCATCCTTGACTCAAGATTTGGAGCTTGTTTTTTAGCGGAATAATAACGACGTTTCCATTCATCTCGAGCTATAAAGGTAGTAGAAAATGCTGAATAGTTAGTAAAGCATATTTGATATTTATCACATTTGGTTATATAGCTAATAAAATTACAATTTACAAATAATTATAGCGTTTCCTGTTACCCATTTTATTGTGTAATTATCTGATATCAAATTAGCCTATAAGTTTTGAAGTCATAGTGATGTCTTTGTGATTAGAAGAATTGATTTATAATTATTCCAAACGCTTACTGAGCATAACTTTCTCATTTTATAACTAAATATCCTTTTTAAGATCATAATTAAAAGTGCTAGGGTCATGACAGTTCATTTTAATGCGCATCCTTGTGAGTAGGAGAAAATGGAGATGATATAAGAATAAAACTTGTGCACTAAGGTAGAGTGTAATTCCATTATGGGTAAATTTTGTTTTGATAAGGTCTCACAGTGTTATACAGTAATGTTTACTGATGACGTTTCGAGCACAATTTATTGCTCATAATCATATCAAGGTAATCACACGACTTCCTAAATTCATTTATATAGTTCCATTGTTTTTCTCTTGATTTTCACTTGATTTGATTGGTAATAGTATTTCCATATTTCAGGTATGAGTGACGAGTCATTCCTATTGCATGTGTTGGGTGTAGACTCGATGAACAAGGATTCAGTAATCAATAGATAGATATTTAGACTTTAATTCGTCTCATCCTTTAACTGTTAAGGCAGGCTTAGTTAAATGTTTAACAAACCGAGCAGTGGCACTAAGTAGCACAAAAAACGATCTAAATGATGAATTAAAACAGATAGAAGAAGCGTTGGTGTTGAATAACTATCCTATAAAATTCATTAGGAAGATCATTAAAGGCCAAAAACAAAATAAAAATATTGTGAGACTAGTAATAATAACATAAATAAGAAAGAATATAAGCCATCCACAGTTATACCATATAAAGAGGGGACATCTGAGACACTACGTAGGATTCTGAATAAAGTAGGAATTAGGGTGGCATTAAATCTACAAACTCACTCAGGGACAAGCTCTGTAGGTTAAAGGACCCTGTTGACCCAATTAGACAAAATAATATTATTTACAAAATACCATGCAATGACTGTGAGGTCAACTACATAGGTCAAACTAGTAGGTCAGGGGTTGTCAGATTGTCAGAACATAAGAATTTAGCTAAGGTAAGAATGGTTGACCCCGAAAAGATAAGTAATTTAGAAAAAAGCTCGGCAATTGCAATGCATGCATTAACATACAACCACACAATTGGGTGGGAGAGGGTTAAAATTCTAAAAAGTAATCTAGGTAGGTGGAGAGGAGAGAGGTTGATTACTGAATCCTTGTTCGTCGAGTCTACACCCAACACATGCAATAGGAATGACTCGTCACTCATACCTGAAATATGGAAAATACTATTACCAATCAAATCAAGTGAAAATCAAGAGAAAAACAATGGAACCATATAAATGAATTTAGGAAGTCGTGTGATTACCTTGATATGATTATGAGCAATAAATTGTGCTCGAAACGTCATCAGTAAACATTACTGTATAACACTGTGAGACCTTATCAAAACAAAATATACCCATAATGGAAAATGGAGATGGATGAATCTGGCAGATATTGAGGAGACCATAGAATGACATCACGCGCCAGGCCCTCGAATGGGGAATCCAAGAGGGAACTGACGAGTGGGTTGTCCTAGGGTGACATGGAGGAGACCGTGAGAAGAGGAGGTGAGGGATTATGGAAATCTTAGTCCCAGCTGAAGAAGATAGGTCAAAGTGGAGATGTGTTGTTGAAGCTCTCTCTATGTTGCACTCGAAACCCAAGGGAATAATATTAATAATATAACCTATTCAAAAATATCAAATTCGATTATCAACATTCTATTATTCTAAAATAAAATGGAGAAAACCTGACAAAAACCTCAGTAAATGTCAAATATTCCAGTTTCGTTCTGATCTGAATAAGCATATATATATATATATATATATATATATATAATACTTGAATACTAATCTTAAACGAATTCTTAAGTTGATAATAAAAAAGACAGAACACTATTACAAGCCGATTTTCAAATCTATTCATATCTCATAGTATTTCTTTCTGTCTTATAGAAACATTTTGGTGTAATTAATGTTTTAAACTGTTATTGTCTATTGCGTTTAAGTTAATATTAATTCCTGTAGGGGTTGCGTGATATATTAAGAATTCTTTAATTCAATCAGACTTCCTTCAGTTATGTTTATTGAAAAAAATTTATTATACTGTATTCCGTTTATATATATATTTAAATATTCACTTGTTCCTATAAAGAATTGCATGTCGGCGGTACATAGCATCAAGTTCTTAAACATGTTTTCTTGCCTGACTAAATGAAGGGGAAGAGAAGAATACAAATAATAGTATTCTCGAGCATCTTGTCAAATCTAGACATGGGGTACCCCTGTATGACTGTTTCAAAGTGGCTCACAGATTTTCACATTACCGAAAGAGAGCGCTTCAAATAGACATCTTAACATATCTGAACCACGGACTGTTCGATACCTGAAATCACACTGTTATTTGTGCATTTAGCTGGCGTATCAGACAGTGGTCAGCAAATGATTCTGTCTTCTTATCAAAAGAACTGCATTCAAAGTGAAACTAGACGTTTCTTTAAATTTCGTACTGAAAACTCGAGTGTAATTGTAAAGTTTTTTTTAAGAAAAACAATTTGAAAGAATTGATCAAGTGTTATGTTGATATGTTGATAATTCTCAGACTGACTGACTGAAAATGAAACTGAGCTTAGTTCTTATTTGTTCTATTTGTGTACTCCGCAGGCGTTTTAAAATACGGTAACTGTTTATGCCTAATTATATTATATTGTTAAGTCGTGAAATGTACCCCAGTATTCATACTTTTTAACACAGTAGTATATCATAAAATTGTCCGTTACATCTATTTTTGAGCACCTATAACTTCGCTTTACTTCTCCATCAAGCTTAGAGTTATATTCTACATGTAATCAAGAACTACAAGGTAGTGGTTTCGTTACTGTATATTTTCAGAAGTAGTTAGTCATTATCGGTAAGATTGCAACCTGCATCTCCCTCCCTATTCTGTCTGAACCACAGTTAACACTACTCAAAACTAGTAGACAAGTGGCTGTCGTCATCCACAAAAGTTCATGCCCAATTATAATAAATAAATCAAGGATAATGTAGACTTTAATTAACTCCATATTTCTTCCTATCTTATTCTGATTAGTTTGAAAAACGGTAAGTTACAACCTTCGGCCTCCGTCAGTGGTTCGGTGGTAGAATGCTCGCTAACCTCTCCATCGCACCCCTAGACTTCGCTTAATTTACTAACCATTAGTAAATCGGAAAAGGTTAAACCATCCCCTAAAAATAACACCACAGATACTAAGCCATATGTTCCATCCAGAACGTAAGCAGTGACGAAAGTTGTTACTAATATTCTTTTAAATCTCAAAAATGTAATTGTTTAAATCGACTAAGCGCCTATCTACGAAATGATGGTAAATGACTGACCTTCGGTTAAGCTTGTAAATAAAATTCCAACGGAGTTTATTATTGACCACATAATTGGATGTTGTTTAAAAAAATAAAGATGATCATCAGCACACCAGATATTATTTTCAGAGTGTGGGCTGGGTGGTATTTATTGTATTTTATGTGTTAACCAATAACCTCTGGCAAATTCCAGTGTTTAATGTCAGTAACCTGCATTCTTTAATTTCCTTGATCCCCTATTGCACCTACACTATTGCGATACAATATACCACCATTTACATAGTGAAGAATTTTACTGCACAATAACTGGCATATATATATATATATATGAATAGAAGAATAATTAAATAGGGTCAATGATAGCAAGTAAATACTTATATCACTAGTAAACTTTTAAATAAATAAAATGATATAAGTGAATAATCGATGATACTGGTACCATTCTTGTTAACAATACACAAGGTAATTGATTGCATTCATTACGTAATTTTGTAACAGTCGTGAATCCTAACTTCTCTCTTGTACTACTATTAAGCTACAAGAATACCGATCTAATGACAATTACACCTAAGAGAGAGGAATCTACCGACTATGAAGCATTTCTGAAACTTTAAGGAACTTAATCACTACAACTTCTAGTGTTTCTATTAGAGTCAAAAAGACGTTAGTAGAAATAGGATAGCAGATTCCTAGGAGCCAATGAATGCTGAGCATTTTGTTTCTAATTTGGATTTTTTTCCTTCACGTTCCCCAGTGGAACTTAGGGGTTCAAGCTAGTGGCTTGAAGTTTCTGTAGCAGCGTTTATTTTACAGGATTGGGTTGCTAGCCTCATGTCCAACCTTTCCTCTTTACCAGAATTATTACTGGCTTAGCGAGGTAAAGGGGTGCGTCGGTCCGGGGATCAAACCCCGAACCATGTGCATGGTTAGCGAGAGTCCAAACCGCTATCCCACCAACGCACACGAACTTATTAAGTATTATTTGGGTTTCCACCTTCTTGTAACTTCTAAGATGGGGATATATTTATGCAGACAGAAAGGATGATATTTAATCTAGGTATTGTTGCATACGCTGAAGCGACGAGAAGACACTGGAAGATCTAGACTTCGCGGATGCTTTATGTCTGATATGACCGATGTACCTGGCTCCACAGCAACAGGTGAACTGATATATACACATAGAAGTGGTCATGTGCGGAATCTTGTCCTTTGGGTTTCTGCAGATCAGCGGGCGACTGGAGAACACTATTCTTAGTGTTGCCGCAGGGAAAGTTCTTCCTAAAGAGGTGGAAATTCTCCTTCTGAGGACGTCACTAAATAGGTCTCCTTTGAAGTCTAGGTTCATATAAAGTATCTTTTTCGGCACGGATAGTGTCTCTTGCTTTTGGTTTTTCTGTTTGATGTTTTTCTCTACAAATCTTGGTGGGTAGCCATTTTGTATGAAGATTTCTTTCAGGAAGTTTAGTTCTTCTTCCATGGTGTCGGAGCTGCAGA